CACTTGAGTCACTCTACCATCCCTGTTGCTTAAGTCTTTAAAATCCATCAAGTGTGCATTTTAAACTCATAGTACATTTCAGTTTGCACCAGCCTAATTTCAAGTGCCTAGCTATCCCCTGTGGGCAGTGGCCGCCATTTGGCCAGCACAGTCCTGGACAGTCAAAAACGGTGAATAAAAGGCAGCAATGGATTTAAGTTGAAACAAGAGCAGAATTTGTGGCAGATATGGATGGAGTTGTTCTTTTTCTTTTTGAAGCACTGATCTTTGCTTCAGGAAATGACTGGAAGGGATTATTTAGATAGAGGCAGCAACTAGTTCATTGGTGGTCAAAGTAGAAAGTCACAGGAACAGACTGCAGGGTGGAGGTGGGGACTGTTAGCCTGGCGATGGCTGAACACCTGAGAAGAATGAAGTAATCAGTGTTCTTCCTAAGAAAACAGAGCAGGTCCAGTAAGATCAGGGAAGCGAATGATAGGACAAGGAAAAGGAGGAGAGAACTCTGTTACCTCAAACCCGGGGCAACTGTGTGGAACTTTGAACAAAGCAGGGAAGCCAGAGGTCAATATTAGAAGGGTCAAGAAAGAATGAGATGAAGGGATCCGCTGGTTTCACAATGACTGCTGGAGTCATCGTGGCATCATTTTTCCTAAGGCAGGACAAGGAGCCGGCCTGGCCACGGTGTGCCAGAGCAGAGGGTAGGGCCTCTGTGAAGTAAGCCAAGTTGCAGTTGGCTTGATCTTTCCTTTCTGTTTCCTCCAAAGAAGCTCACAACCTGGAGCCTTATCTTTTCCCTTCCACTTTAGTCTCGTTTTCTGATTAACACCCATGTATACTATTTGTAAAATTCATGCAACAGTAAAGTATGGAAAATAGAAGTCCTTAGTAATTTCTTTTCTTTAATTACTGTTACCTGATGTCATATATCCTTCCAGAAATTTTCTTCCGTGTGTATAAGCTTTTTTGGACTGGGGTTTGAACTCGGCTAGCACTTGCAAAGAAGGCACTCTATTGCTTGAGCCATGTCTCTAGTCTTTTTTTTAAAATTTTGTTATTTTTACATTTATTTACATGTGTATACATTATTTGGGCCATCTCCCCCCCTCTTTTTTTTTTTTTTCTTTTAGATAGGATATATGTAGCCATGGCTGGCCTCGAACTTGTGATCTTCCTGCCTCAGCCTTCTGGGTGGCGGGGATTACAAGACATGCCACAATGCCCAGTTACAACCAGCTTTTCTTAGTTTTATTTAATGTTGTAGACATTTTTCTATGCTGCTAGATAGTGCATCCTTCTTTTTGTAGGCTATACAGGTTTTTTTGTTTTGTTTTTGTGTTTTGAGCCAGGATCTTGCTATGTAGTCTAGGCCTTTAGTTCATGATCCTCCTGGCTCAGCCTCCCCACTGCAGGCATTGCAGGCACGCACCATCTATGCCTGGCCCAAAGGTTTTTCTTACATTGTTGCTCCATAAGTTATTTCAACAGTCAGCTACAAGCAAGTATGCGAAGGTCACCATGTGCTTGCTAGTACAGTCATGAAGCAGAATAGACAGATGAGGCGGCAGAAAATTAAAAATAATAAATATTAAAAGGGCCAGATTGAGGAAGTAACTGAAAACCCAGAGCAGCAAGCTTCTCTCCGTCTTTGCCTTGTCCTTTGAGATTAGGAAGCTGGGAACTCTTTGAATGGTGGGGAGAGAATATCGGAGGGCACGTGTGGCACACAGAAGTCCTCAGACCCACCAGTCTTCCCTGTGCAGGCCTGACTCACATCTCCTTGTGTTAGAATAATAGGCAGTACCCATCTTGGCCACATCTTGGGTAGTAGGCTCACCCAGGAACACTTTGTTTCTAGTGATTAGAAGTTGCTAGAAGACATGAGCACATGTAGTTCCCAAGCTCAGAAAGTATGAAGACTCCATAATAAAAACCACCATTTTGCTACATACTGGTGGCTTACGCCTATAATCTTAGCTATTTGGGAGGCTGAGATTGGGAGGATCGAGGTTTGAGGTCAGCCTGGGCAAATAGGTCATTAGACTCCTATCTCAAAAATAACCAGAGCAAAACAGACTGGAGGTGTGGCTTAAGTGGTGAAGCCCTGAGTTCAAACCTTATTCCTATCCTCTTCCCTCTGCCCCCCCCAAAAATGAACCACCATTTTGAGTCTCTCATTTCCTACATAAGAGGCAAGAAATGTTTCTCTTTCCCTTTTTCTATTTCTTCCTACTTAATCCTATTATACTAAAATAAATCCTTGCTAGTAGGGTGCTGGTAACTCATGTCTGTAATCCTAGCTATTTGGGAGGCAGAGATCAAGCAGATCAGGAGGATCATGATTTAAAGCCAATCCCAGGGAAATAGTTTGCAAGACCCTGACTCAAAAAACAAACAACAACAAAATAAAACCATCACAAAAAAAGGGCTGGTGGAGTGGCTCAAGTGGTAGAGCGCCTGCCTCTTAAGTGCTCTTAAGAAATTAAGAAATAATAATAATTTCTTAAGAAATTATTAAGAAATCCTTGCTGAAACTTCCACCCGTGAGATTCTCTTGTTGTGAGAGCCCTGGAAATGCTTTTCACTGTGAATCTTAAGTCCCTGTGACTTAGGTGGAAGGTGGGAGGCTGAAGGAATCCCCTGTCTTTTCCCCTCCTCGGGATAATCATTCTCGTGCACATTTCTTTGTGTGCTTCTGAGAGCTTTCTGTAGAAAAATTTCAAAGATCGGGGTGTCAAGTCAGAGGGCAAACATTTAAATTTTTGAAAAAAAATCTTACCAAATTGACTTTTGGATAAGTTTTTACACATTTAAGTGTCATGTAAATCATTGGACACTCACATTCTTACTCTATACTTGACAAAATCAACCTTTAAAATTTTTTCTAGTCTGATGGAGTCCGAGGTCAGAGGTCCCACTGTGGGGGTCCCAAGGGACCAGGCACAGCCATCCACTCCCAAAGGCCAGTTGAAGAGATGAGTGATGGGGAAGGAATTTATTCTGTGTGTCACCACACTGAGGAGAAAAGCTGCATTCTAGTAACTGAAGGTCTGTCTCTTCAGGGAATAACAAGAGTCTTGGGGTCATATAGCAAGAGCTAGGGGCTGGATAGCTGGCAGCCTCGGTCAGGCTGTGGACTGGTTGATCATTATCTCAGGGTCGGTCTGACTAGGCCTGGTTGGAGATAAGCCCATGCTACCTGGGGTAGTTGTCAGTCTAGTCATGGGATGTCCATCCATCAGATCTGTTGTTCCTGGAATCCAAGGTGTCTGCAGGAGAGAACGACTCAGAAAGGACAAGTCAGGTGGCATTAGTTCCTTCAGGTTTAGAGCAATTGCTGGAAACCTTGGCACCTCTCTGGTAGTCTGGAGGACACTGTAAGAGTTAGAAGGTGGCATCCTTTGATTGTCTGGAAAACATCTAGTTACTCTGACCTTGGTGATTTCAGAGGATTACTATGGTACCCAAGGCTTCCGGTAGAAAAAAAGACTGATGCAAAATAGAGGCAGAGATGCCAGGCTTTTCTCTTGCTTTCCATTACCCATCAGGCATCTGCAGGCCGAAGTGAAGGATCAGTGCTTTTAGCAAAAGCAGCCTCTAAGTCCCTGTTATGGTAAAACCTCATGGGCCTTTAGTTCGTCCGATTACATCTAAAGCTGAGTGTGTTTTCAAATATCTGTTTGCCATTTGTATTTCTCTTGTAGATTGACCAGATACTCTGCTAATTTTTCTATTTGGTGTTTAATCTGTTTTGGTATTGATTTAGGAGCCTTTTCTTTCTCTTCTTTCCTTCCTTCCTTTTTTTTTTTTTTCATTCCTTCTGTGGTGCTGGGGATAGAATCCAGGGGCTTGTTCATGACAAGCAGATGCTATGCCAGTGAGCTATACCCCCAGCCCCAAATTCAATTCCTTTTTCCCTCCCTTCGTCCCTCCCTCCCTCCCTCCCACCAGTTTGTTAGGACCCCAGGTTGCGGGTGTCCTTGTGGACTAGGCTCAGAAAGCCAATCAGAGACCAGCGGTGAGGAGAACAGGAGGGAGTTTTATTGTCAGTGTGGGAAGAAGAGCCTGGTGACCACAGATCCATCTTCAGGAAGTCTTGGGGCTAAGTAGGAGAGGGAACAATGGCAAGGCTTGGTGGTGTCCTTGGTCAGCAGTGCACACTCTTGAGTTCTTGTTGTGACTTGGATTAGTGTTACCTTGGGTCAGTACCTCAGGATTGGGCAATGTGGAACCTTGTTGGCACCAAGCAGGTCACTGTTGCTTGGGGCATGGTGGGGGGTAGTTTAAGTCCTTTCTCATAAAATAGTCATCAGTCAGGCCTGGGATCCAAAGTTACCACAGGAGAGAATGACTCCAAGAGCTTAGGGCTGGAGGCAATGCTTAGTGACAGAGCGCTTGCCTAGTGTGTGCAAGGCCCTGGCTTTTATCCCTAGCACTGCAAACAGAGAAAAAAAAAAGAGAAAATGAGCACTAATTAGAATGGCAAGATGGCGTTAGTTAGACCTTCCAGCTTAGGGCTGTGACTGGAGACTGCTGGATGCCCCTCGGAGGGTCCAGAATAGGACATTATAAAAGTTGGCAGGTGACATCTGCTGCTTACAGTGTAGACAATTGCGAAATGAAGGTGGAGAGGCCAAATGTCTATCCTGCTTCCAGTCACCCAGGGTGTCTGCGGGCCAGGGCTTCTAGCAAAAGCAGCCTCCAAGTCTCTGGCACAAGTTCAGTCTCTCAACTTTCAAGGATAAAACTTAAACATTCCGTGAAGTAAAAATCACTCAATCTTTTTTCCCTCCTGACTGGTTTCATTCAAAGATAGGCTGTCTGTACTCACATTTTAGATTGTCCCAATTTTACTTCTAGTGTTTTTATTATTTTTTTTGTTATTTGATTTTTTATCAAAATGGAGTGTATTTTTGTATATAGTAGGAAGTACTGTGGAAACTCTAAATGACAGAATTGAGTAGTGGAAACAGCTTCAGTCTCTGCCTTTTTTCCTTTTACAGGGAGGCACTCGGAGAATACTTGGACGGGCAGAAGGAGAGCGAGGAAGATCAAAGCAAGAGCTACAAACAGAGAGAAGAAAGCAGACTGGTGCGAACCAGCGGCAAATGGTCGCATTAGTGCTGGGAGAGTAGAGAGCTGGCGGGATGGTGTGACGTTCACATTTAGTCAGGGAAGGAGCACTGGGTTCCACATCCCTGTCTCTAGACAGCTGGATTGGTTTATTCTTGTTTGGGAGTTCGATTTATAGATTCTTATATCTATGCTGTTCTTTAGTTGTCACTATTCATAGAGTAAGTCCAAATGTCTTTGCCTGATATTCCAGATCTTTTGTGGTCTGCACTCCTCTCTCACTCTTCTCCTCTCTCTCTCTCTCTCTCTCTCTCTCTCTCTCTCTCTCTCTTTCTCTCTGTCTGTCTCTGTAGGGTCTCCATATGTTGCTGAGGGTGGTCTTGAAGTGATTCTCCCACCCCAGCCTCCTGAGAAGCTGGGACTGCAGGTGTGTGCTGCCGTGCCTGGCTAGTCTGTTCCAATTTTATCTCCCATCATTACCTGCTTTGGCTGGGTGGCGCCACCTGCTCACTGCCAATGAGGCTTGGCCTTTCCCAGCTCTGTGCTTTGATCACTCGGATGCCAAATCCCCTTGGTTCTCCTCTTTTCCTCTCATCAGACCATATACCCAAGATAAGACCAATTCAAGCCCCAGGTCCCTCTGGATTCCTGCTCAGCCCAGTCTAAATACTTCAAACCACACCTTGAATACTACTTCTCCGTGCATTCATTTCATTTTAGGTCATTTTCAGCCTTGTATGACTTGTCAAACGTGAGCACGTGCTGTGTACTCCATAGCTCATTCCAATAAACAGTAAAAATAAAGCTATTGCACACACCTGTAGTCCCAGCGACTAGGGAGTTCAAGCCCAGCACATGGCTCCTGGATATTTAGTAAAGACCTTGGGATACCAGCTAGGGAAGGATAAGAAACAGTTCATCACAGCAAGCCAGAACTGGCAAAGGCTGCTGGGTTATACCATGTGAATCCAGACACAGAAAGACGCTCCTCAGGCTGACCTGGTCAGGGCGGGCCACACGGAGAAAGCAGCACTTGAGCTACATCTTAGAAAAGGAGGTGGGATTTTAAGTGTTGTATAGAAGACACAGCAAGATGGTTTCTGGCAAAAGTACATTGTACTTAGTGGAAGAAAATATATCCAGGTTACTGAAATATTATTATAGAGCGTAGATGGAGAGATAATTAATTGTACTATGTCAGGGAAAAGGTGTTTTCTAGAGGAAAGAATATTGGACTTTTATTTTCTTTTTTAGTGGTATTGGGGTTTGAAATCAGGGACTTGTACTTGCTAGGCAGGCAGGGGTTCTACCCTGCCTTGACCCCAGTCCCTCCTCCTCCTCCTCTTCTTTTTCTTCTTCCTCCTTCCTTCCCTCCTCTTCTTCCTCCTCCTCCTCTTCTCCCTCCTCCTCCTCATTTTAGTTATTTTTCAGGAAGAGTTCTGCATTTTTGCCAGGGCTGGCCTCAGGCAGCAATTTTCCTACATATGGCCTTCCACTTAGCTGGGATTACAGTCATGAGTCACTGATTGCACATCAGTGCCCACCCCCATGTGCTTCTTGTTGTTTTGCTTCGGAGTACTGGGGTTTGAACCCAGGGCTTCACACTTGCTAGGCAGGTGCTCTGCTACTTGCACTTACTCTGCCAGCCCCTGAGGTGGGTTCTCGTTCCAGACCTCGCGCTTACCGTAGGGTAGATAACCCGTGTCACTTCTTTGTACTTGGGTTTCTTCTTTTAAAAGCCAGTGATCTGTTTAGGATAAAAGGATTTTAGAATCTTGACAATACTGATATTCAGTTCATCCTGAAGGCTGGTTAATTGGGTGTAAAATCAGAGAGATAACATTGTTTTCATTAGTGGCTTTTCACTGTTCCTTTCCCTTGGGACTTGAGTGGTGAAGAGCCTTGGGCTTCACCAATGTACACACAAAAATGCCAGTGTCCTCAAGAGCAAAGTGTTGGTGACCAGCTGTGAGCTAAGACCTGGACAGGCTGCCCTGTCCTTAGCCCTACACTTTGTCATTGTTTAAAATGGCAATTCTTTTTGTGTCCTGTGTAATCTTTGTACTCCCCAAATTCACGAAGACTTTCTTCTATGTTTTCTTCCCAAAGGCTTGTGGTTCTACCGCTTATACTCTGGTCTGTAATTGATCTGGAGCTGGTGTTTGTTTGGCGGGTGGTGTAGGGTAGGGCTCCAAGTTCTCTGTTTACTTAACCCAAGACCATGTATTGGCGAGATCATCACTTCCCATGGAACTGCAGTGAATCACGCAGGTGTGAGCTGCTTCCAGAGCCTCTGTTCTCTCCCAGTGTCGTTGTACCAATTCCACACTGTTTAATTACAGTAGCTTTAGTACAGGTCTTGATAGCTGGTAAGTATGCCAACTGTGTTCTTCCAGATTGCTCTGGCTATTCTTCTTCCTTTTTTTTTTTCTTTTTTCTTTTTGAAGCAGGAATTCACTACATTCAAAGATAAGTCTGGCTTCACACTAATGACCCTCTTGCTTCAGCCTCCCAAGTGCTAGGATTACAGGTGTGACCACCACACTTGCTTTCTCTTGGTTGTTCTTGACCTTTTGCATTTCCGTATACATTTTACATTCAACTTGCCAGTTTCTACCAACTTAATTGAGATTGAATTGAATAAATAATCCATGGCTAGATATTTTTCCATTGAATTAGACATTTTTCATTTACTTAGCAATATTTTAATATTTTTATTTATTTGCATATAATAGTTGTACAGGGTGGATTCATTGAATATTTAAATTTGTATTGAAGTTATATTCATTCATTCTTGGTACATAAAAGTACAATTGTTACTGTATGTCTTGACCTGGCATTCAGTGATCTATACAAATTCTAATGGTGACCTATGGGCTCATTTTTTAAAACATATATAGTGATGTCATCTGAAAATAAGGACAATATTATTTCTTTTCTTCCTTTTTTTGGTGGTGGTACTGGGGTCCAAATCCAGGGCCTTGCACTTGCTAGGCAGGCACCCTTTTGACTTTAGCAATTTTTCAGATAGGGTTTTATGCTTTTTGCGTTGGCCAGCCTTGGACCTTCATCCTCCTACACCTCCTAGGTAGCTGGGATTACAGTGTGCTTTTTATTTCTTTTTGTTGCCTTAGTGCATAAGATAGGCTCTCTAGCCCTTGAATAGAAGTGGTGACATTGGGAACCTGTGTCCTGCTCCGGCCTTCCTCTGGATGCACTTCCTTAAGTGGATGTGTCTGAAAAGCTACTCAGCATCCCAGACCCTCTTTTAGCTCACTGAATGCTATGGAGCTGCACAATCTCTTTCCATATGGTTTGGTGCCTACCTTTGAGGCCTGCCTGGGCCTCTTCCTAGGGTGTGTCCTACTCGGGGCGGCTGAGGCCACTGCTTTGCAAACTCTGTGCCTGACGGGTGGCCAAAGGGTGTAGACGGAGCTGGGATGTTGAGTTCTAGAGGTCCACATGTCTGCAGGACAGAGCTGGGGGTGACTAGAAAGAGAGGGACTGAAAGGTACCCAGATATGAGTGGGGCTCTGAGTGTAGTCTGAATTCAACTTGTACTTCTACACGTTTATGAGGGTATCAAGGTAGGAGAGTAGAGAGTCTTTCACATCATAACTTAATCTACTGTGGAGCAGCTCAAGTGGTAAAGACTACCTGTTTAGCAAGCCTGAGGCCCTCAGTTCAAACCCCAGTGCTGCCCCCCTAAAAAAGAAAAAAATATGAACATGTGGTATATGAACCTCCATTTTTCCTTTGGGCAGTACTAGGGCTTGAACTCAGGGCCTTGTGCTTGCCAGGCAAACGCTCTACCTCTTGAGCTACGCTTCCAGCCTGTAAACCTATAGTTAAAGTCTTCTTTTGGAACTCATAAGGATGTGCTGGTCTGTGGGTGACTGTAACATTCTGATTTTTAATTTACTTTGAGTCTTAAGTACTTGATTCAGAATTTTTTTCAGTGCTAGGGACTGAACTCAGGGCCTCACACTTGCTAGACAAGCACTCTACCACTGAGCTGTATCCCCAAGTCCTAAGAAAATTTTCACGTTCACATTTCAAGTAGAAGATAGAAAAGTTGCCTGAAGCTGAAGGAAGCCACTGCTTCCTGATAGAGAGAACCTGTCTGGAATAAGTGGTAAAGCTGAGGCTTCACCTGAATGTCCTGAGCGTCCAGGTGAAGCCTGCTCCACCAATAGGGAGGTGGGAGATGTTGTTTCATTGACCTCCATGGGCACCTTTTGTTGGTAGGAGTTGTCATCTTGAAATCACAGTGTCTTGAGGCTCTTAGGGAGGTCCCTGGCAGAGGACTCAGGGATCTGGGGTGTGCTGGCCAGTGTTTTGCTGCTGATCTCTACTGTAAGAGAAGACAGCACTGGGAAATTGTAGGCCATGGCATCACACTGTGGTGTCCTGATGGAAAGGCCTTGCTGAATACGAGGTGCCCTCTGAGTCGCATGGGACCTTCCAATTCCTGCCAGAACGGATAGAAGGGCTATAGAAGACTTGTGCAAAGTGCGCCTAACTTTCTAATATTTTTTTTTGAGGCAGGGCCTTCCTGTGTAGCCCAGACTGGCTTTGAATTCATGATATTTGCCCCTCAGCCTCCTGAGTGTTGGGGAGTACAGTACCTGGCCATCACGCCCCACTCTAACTTTCTTATTTATTTATTTATTTTGCAATGCTGGAGATGAAACCCAGAGCCCCATGCACATTAGGCAAGTGCTTTGCCACCAAACCACAGCCTCAGCCCTAACTTTCAAATTCTTTGCAGAGTGTTCTAATTTTGTAAATCCTCTTCCTTTTGTTTTCCAGAAATTGTCTAAACTGCTACTATGTGGCACTGAGTTGGTGACAAATATCCAGGTGGCTACAGATATCAGAGAGCTTCACAGGAGAGTGGAAGAGGAGGAGATAAAGCGCCAGCGGTGAGGAACCAGTGTTGCAACTGTCCCCCAGGTGGGAGGGGCTCCTGTGGGCATTCCTCACGTCTGAATTCACGGAGGGTGACTTGTCCACTTTGTCTACCAGAATCCCCTTCCTCACCTTTATGAACTTGCCCTCCTCCCTCCCTCCTTTTCTGCCTCCCTGCCTCCCTCCCTCCCTCCTTTTCTCCCTCCCTCTCTTCCTCCCTGCTTTCTTCCTCCCTCCCTCAAGTGTTGCTTTGCTGACCTGTGTCCCATTGTGTGGTACAAAGGAGTGAAGTGTGGCCTTTGCTTGCAGTTGGCATGGAAATATGTCAGTTTAATAAACAAAGGCCTGTGGGAGGAGTGGTGGGAAACAGGGGAGGCCTTTGGGTCTCTGCAGAGACTAGCAAGAAGTCCAGGCAAGGTGATCCTGAGTTGAGTGACCCATCAGGCAGAGGGAACAGACACTTGGGCAGAGGCATGAGAAAGGGTGCTTGGGAAGGGCGTGATGGAGAAGATGTAGGGAGGAGCCTGGGTTTAAGTGGATCAGAACAACTCAACCCACAGGAGTCTCTGTGTTCTGTAGGAACACCACTGCATATTAAGGAATATTAAAGAGTCTATACCTGGATTAGAGGGACAAAGGAAATCTGTGCCACACCCTAGTTCTAGCATCCATAGGTAGGTGGCCACACACACCTGTCTTCCCAGGTCTCATGTGTCTTAGGAAGACATGGTACTTCTTCAGTTAGGATGGGGAAGTGAGCTGAACAGCTGGCCTCACTTAAACTCTCCCCTTGTATTGGTCTTTGGTTAATTTCCTGACACGGTTTCATTAGAAGAGTACCGGCCTGGCCATCTGAGCGCCAGCACAGGCATTTGTAGCTGGTCAGCATGGGTAACTCCCCCACAAGCCACTGTACCTGCTCTGCCAGGTGTAATGCTGACTTTGCTCTCAAAGCCTCCATGGCCTGCATGGGCTGAGCCAGGGACAGAACTGGCTGATTGCTGGCAGGGTCAGCATGTGGAAGACCCCAGACATCAGGCTTCGGACTGGGCCTTCATCCCATGGCCACCGAGGAGGAACTGAAGGTTTTATCAGGCAGTTACAGGATGAATGTGTTTTGGGAGAATGACCTGGTAGCTGCTTCTCATTTCTTGAGTCACAAATCAGATTACAGCTGGGTGCTGATGGCACACACCTGTAATCCTAGTAACAATTTGGGAGGCTGAGATCAGGAGTATTGTGGTTCAAGGCCAGAATGGGCAAATAGTTTGAGAGACTCCCATCTCCAAAATAATAAGAGCAAAATGGACTGGCAGAATGGCTTAAGTGGTAAAGCGTCGGCTTTGCAAGCATGAGGGCCTGAGTTCAAACCCCAGTCCCACCCCCCCATCCAAAAAAAAAAAAAGGCAGGTACTATGTGCCTGGGTTTGGAAGGTGGGGTGGGGTGGTGTGGGAAAGAGAAAGAGGGGGTCATGGGGTGTAAACTGGTGGTTCCGTCCATAATGGGGTTTGCATTCTTGTTTGGAGACAATCACAGCATTACAGTCTGTTAAGATGAGGAGGGAGAGGCTCTGGTGCCTTCCTTCCTGTCCCATCCTCACTATGCTCCATCATGGCCTCTCGCTATTTCCCATCAGTCCCCTAGTCACTTACTGCTTCCACTTGAGGTCATGTTGCTAATAAAAAAATAAGAATGCAAGTATCTCTTGTCCCCTGGTTGCTGGGTGCTGAGCCCTGGGCTTTGCATTCTCTTGCTTAATCCCGGATAGCAGCGCAGGGAGGTGGAGACTTTCACCGTCTCCACTGTATAGAGAGGAAAGTGAAGGTGAGGCTGCAGAGGATCCGCAGCTGTCTAGGGGTAAGTCAGGTCTTTGCAAGGTCAGGACTTGAACACAGGCCATGTGCTGTAACTGTGGTGTGTCATCGTCTTACTCAGAAGTGTGTGTGTGTGTGGTCTCAGTGTCGACCTTTTCTTTTGTGCCACTTTGTTTACTTGGCCTGAGTTACTCACAGTCAGGCACTAAAGTAAGAGAAGCTTCCCCGACACGTGCTTTGGTTCTGGGCGGGCATCTGAGGACGGTGCGAGTTAAGGACCCTGCCGCATCAGTGGCGGCAGCATCCGAGCTGCCCACGTGTTCGTCCCTGCAGAATCGAGAAGCTGGAGAACGAAGTTAAGACCAGCCAGGACAAATTTGATGAGATCACTGCCAAGTGGGAGGAGGGCCGACAGAAGCGAATTCCGCAGGAGCTCTGGGAAATGCTCAACCAGCAGCAGGCGCACTGCGCGGGGCTGATCGAGGACAAGAACAAGCTCATCAGCGAGTTACAGCAGGCAGGGGGCGGGGCCATGCCGGGGCGGGGCCGTGCTGGGGCGGGCCCAGGCCAGGGGTGGGGCCAGGGCGGGGCGGGCCCAAGACAGGGGCGGGGCGGGGCGGGCCGGGGCGGGGCTTCCATCCCAGCCGCGTGGCTCCGGGAGCCGGGGCTGAACTGGGCCATTCATGTACTTGTCACTCAGACTGCTGCACAACACCCAGCCGGGTGTGGCTGGTCACTGCTGCAATCCCAGCACTCGGGGTGGGGGTGGGCTGAGGCAGGAGGATCTCGAGTTTAAGGCTACATATCAAGATTCTGTCTCAAAACAAAAGTGCTGTACAGCTTAAGTGGTAAACTTTTTTTCTTTATTTTTTTAATGGTGAAATCTACAAACCATTAAATACACTTCCTTAACTATTCTTAAGAGCCCCAAATCAGTAGTGTTAATATATTTACACAGCCACGTGGAACTGTTTCATCTTGCAGCAGTGAAACTTTGTACCCATTTGATACTTATTTCTCCCCCTCTCCCAACCATCGATAACCACTTACTCTGTTTTCTGTTTCTGTGACTTGAGCTGCTTAGACGGTAGCTTCACATGAGTGGGGTGAAGCAGTATTTGTCCTTTATGTAAATGGCTTATTTCACTCAGCATAATGTCCTTGAGTTTTCTGCATGTTGTGGCATGTCATAGGACTTTTTCTTTTTCAAGGTGGCCTAATATATGCACCACCATTCTCTCTATCATTCTTTTGTGGACACCTGAGTTGCTGTCACTTCTTGGCTATTGTGAATACTGATGAATCTGGGTGCACACGTATCTCTTTGAGATCATGCTTTGAATTCCTTTGAATATATATTACAAGTGGGATTGCTCAATTATATGGTCATTTTTAATTTTTAAAATTCCATAATGGCCACACAAGTTGCATTCCTGCCACAGTGCGCCAGCGCTCCTCAGTCTGTGTGTCCTCGCCAGCACTTAATCTATTCTATCGCTATAATAGTGGCTGTATTGATGGGAGTGAGACGACACCTCAAAGTGGTTTTAATTCGTATTTTCCCAAGGAGTAGAGACGCTGAGCATTTCTTCATGCCCTCATTGACTATTCATATATCTTCTTCAGAGAAATACTTTTATATTCTTTGCCCATTGGTTTTTGTTTTTGTTTTTGTTTTTTTGGCGGTACAGGGGTTTGAACTCAGGGTCTCACACTTGCTAGACACATGCTCTATACTTGAGCCACTCCCTATCACAAAAAGTAATGGTGGCCCCACCTGGCCAGGTGGGATGGATTCAGAAAGCAGAGAGACTGTGTCGGATATTTTTGAGATAGGGTCTCTCAAACTATTGCCTGGGTGGGCCTCAAACTACCACCTTCCTGATTCTGCCTCTGGAGTAGCTAGGATTACAGACATGTAACACCAGTGTCCTGCTGTAGTACATTTTGAAATGAGGGAAAGTGAAGCCTCCAACTTTGTTCTATCTATCTATTTATTTATTTTTGGTCAGCACTGGGGTTTGAACTCAGGACCTCACACTTGCTTTCCCCTTGAGCCACTCTGCCAGTCCTTTTTTCTTTTTTCAAGGTAGGGTCTCTTGAACTATTTGCCGGGGGCTGGCTTCGAACCGAGTTCCTCTTGATTAGCCACTGGCCTGGCTATTCTTTTTTAAAGGCTGTTTTGACTATTTGGGGGTCCCTTGAGATTCCATATGAATTTTATGAACTTCTTTTATTTCTGCAAAAAATATAGTTGGCATTTGGATAAGGACTGCATTGAATCCATAGACCACTTTTGATTGTATGGACATTTGAATAATCTTGAGTCGTCTCATCCCCCAAACACAGGATGTCTTTTCACTTGTTGGTATCTTCTTTGATTTGTTTCATCAGTGTTTAAATCTTTTGCTTCTTTGGTTTGGCTTATTCCTAAGTCTTTCATCTCACTATGTAGCCCAGGCCAGCCTCAAACAATCCTCCTGCCTCAGTCTCCCTAGTGCTGGGATTACAGGCATACACCACATCTGGGTCTTTCATCTTTTTTGATGCTATAACAAATGGAAGTGTTTTCTTAATCTCCTTTGGGATTGGCTATTATTAGTACATAGGAATGCAACTGATTTTGTGTTCTGCAGCTTCACCGAATTTGGTTTTTAGTTCTAACAGGTTTGTTTTGGACTCTCTAGGTTTTCTACTATAAGATCCTATCATCTGTGAACAGAGATAATTTTGACTTCCAATTTGGGTACCTTTTCAAGTGATAAAGTTGTAACCAGAAGAAAAGCTTTGTAGTAATTCTAGAACTGTTGACCTCCCAATGGAAAGATGTGCCTGTATAGCAAATGTGGTTTCAGATTTTGTGTTCTTAGTTAAGGAATGGAGGTTGGTTCCCGTGTTAGAGCCAGGACCTTCAGTGTTAGCTGGGACCGCCTAGGCTTCCTGGGGGCTCGCAGGATGGTTTGCAGCAAGCAGTAATGCGGAGGGAGACTTCATCCTGGGCACCCACTCAGTGCTGCCCTAGCTGAGTTCATTCCACTCTGTCCACCTGTGTTCAGTCCCAGGCCTTCAAGGCCTCTTCCAAAGCTGTTTTCTTGTGCACTTTTAATTCCCAGGGTTTACAGATTCTGATTTGAGGGAACCGAGGGGGCCTCTGCTGTATGGTACCTCTTGCTTCTGTCTCAGTCTGTGAGCAGCCTTCTCCATGTCATTTTCAAGGAGTTAAAAGTAAAAGATGACCAGTTTGTGAAGGACTTGAAGAAACAGTCAGAGGACATCAGCCTGCTTCTGGAGAGGATGGAGGAACAAGTGAAGAACATGATGAAGAACTTCCGTCAGGAGCTCCATCACATTGAGGTGACCCGAGTGAAAGGACCTGCTCTATGCACAGAGAGTCCCGGGAGAAGGGCGGTGCCTGTCCTGAACAGCCCTAAGGGCCCATTTGTCTCTGCCCTCTGATTTCTTTTTTTTTCCAGTACTGGGATTTGAAGTCAGGGCCTCATGTTTGCTAAAGAGCTCTACCACTTGAGTAACTCTACTAGCTCTGTTTTATGTTGGGTATTTTTGAGAAAGGTCTTGAGAACTATTTGTCCAGGGCAGGCTTTGAACTTCAGTCCTTGTGATCTCTGTCTCCTGAGTAGCTAGGATCATAGGCGTGAGCCACTGGCAGCCGGTTGATTTTTTTTTTTTTTTTGCAGTACTGGAGTTTGAACTCAGGGCCTCACACTTGCTAGGCAGGCACTGTACCAAATAAGCCACTCCATCAGCCCAATGCCCTCTGATTTCTGTCTTTGCAATAAGGTTTCATCATTTTCTCATTGATTCACTCATGCAGCAAGTAAATCTTCAAGTGTCTACAATATGATATGCCAGGCACTGTTCCAGGGCAGGGCACACAGCCAGAACCAAAATGAAGTCCCTATTGGAGCCTGTACTCTAGTGGGAAATAGCTGATATAAATACATTCTAAATGTATAATTTGACAGGTGGTCATAAGTGCTTTGAAAGGAAATAGGATGGGACTGGGGCATGAAGGAGGGAGGTTAGTGCTCTGTATCCATGGGCAGATGTCAGCCACTTCAGTGCTTGCAGCTGGGTGGGGAGGTGGGAAAAGGGAGTGCCAAATAGGATTCGGATTCAGGATTCAGATTCTTGAATTTGAAGGAAATGCTAAGATTGAGGATTGAGGGTTTTTTTTTTTTTAACTCAGGGCTTTGCACTTGCAAAGCAGGCGATCTACTGCTTGAGCCACACCTCTGGTCCATTTTGCTCTGGTTATTTTGGAGATGGGGTCGGTCTCTCAAACTGTTTGCTGGGGCTGGCCTTGAACCTTGATCCTTTTGATCTCAACTTTCCAAGTATCTAGGATTATAAGCAGGAGCCTTCCACGGGTGAAATGCTAAGATTAAGATAGAGGTTTAGGCCTTTCCAAGATGGGAGACAGAGGCAGGACCCACTGCCTCACTGCTGCCCTCCTGGGCCTTCTTTCATGGGGGAGTGGGGGGTATTCACTGTAACAGAGTCAAGGTTGAAGTCACCAGGACGGTTTGGCTGTGATGCCAGCCAGAGCCCTGCCCTGCCTCAGCTCCCTGCCTCTGGTGCTGACTGAGCCTCGGCACTCTTGGTGTGTTTCCTCTCAGAATTCATGGGAAGCACAGACCTCCTCTTTGCCTCACAGCTCTTTGGTAGCCCTTTGGCCACCTGGCATTTGGATGTGACCTTGTATGGTTGGGGTGTTGAGGACTTCAACTGGCAGCTCACCTAGCCTAGAAATCAGCTATAACTGGCATGACCCTTGGGTAACCTCGTGAAGAGGAAGATAGCCTTGAAACAGGGTTGTAAAACATGGTAAACTGTCAATTAAAAGCTGTAACCTCAGACAGAGCTGTGAGGAATTGCCCATTAGAGCCATGCAAAAGTTCGGACCGAGATGAAAGGCACCATGCAGAGATAAGCACCCATTCCTGCCTTTCTTTGTCTCCACTTGTAAATAAACTTTCCAAAGCAGGACTCCCTGCTGTTCTTATCTAAACCTTAGGTTTCTATTCCACTACTAGCCCCTAATTTATGGGAGAACGCATTCCTTGTAACCTGATAAGTAAGCCTCTGGTGTTTCCCCAGTTCCCAATAAATAATATTACCCCACCACCAGGATGTGGGCAAGAACAGGATGTGGACGAGATCAGGAAAATGTGACCCCAGGGGCATGAGGAATTCCTATGTGACGATGATTGATGCTTTAAAGAGTATAAGACCTGCTTAAACTTTGCTCTCAGGGTCCTTGTTGAAACCTGCTGCATCAGGCGGATGCTCGGACCCTAGCCGGCCAGAAATAAACCTCGCCGTGTGACCTCCTTTGTCTCGAGTGTCCTTTGTCCTCTCAGAAGGTGGCCGGCCTCATACCCTAACAGGGGACATACATGGCACTGTGAGGTTAGCTGTAAGTTCTTTGATAATCAAAGCAGACTCGAGGGCCTTTCCCCTCTGCGCAGAAAGCCTTCGAGGTGGAGCGACAAGAGCTGCTGAGCAGTAACAAGAAGAAATGGGAACGGGCACTGCAGACTCACAATGCCAAGGAGGTAAGGGCAGCAGGCAGGTGGGTGGGCAGGGGTCAAGGGCAAGCCTTGGAGCCACGCTTTCCCCTGAGCCTGAACCGCCAGCCTCTTGTCTCCTGGTGGGACTGTCACGGTGCAGTCATTACTGGCCTTTGTGGTCAGTCCGTGTGGCTTTGTGTGTGTGGATTCTCCTTGGTGGGTGAGTGCCCAGTCTGTCTTTTCTATGGTTCTGTCACTTTCTCCTGGGGTGCCTACCCCAGCCATGGATATTCATGGCCCAAGAAGGTGTTTCAAGGCACATTCTAAAGACAATATGGGATGATCACTTTATTTCAGAGGTGAAAAGACAAAGAAGCGTCTTGATCGAGACCTGGTGGATCTCTTAGAAACACCTGACTGCAGAATCTATGTTTAATTTTTCTCTCCTTCCCTTCCTTCCTTCCTTCCTTCCCTCTCTTCCCTCTCTTCCTTCTCTTCCTTCCCTTCACTTCTTGCTTCAGTGCGGGGGATGGAGTCCAGGGCCTCGCTCATGCAAGGCAAGCACTCTACTCCTGAGCTGCACCCCAAGCCCTGTGTTAATTTCTTGATGGAGCTCCTTTGGGAGTTCTGGAGTAAGGGCGCCATTAAGCAATATAAGCTGTGATCTAAGAGTTCAAAGCCTTGGGGTCTCGGGCTTCTGAAAGCCACCAGCCATGGCACATCCAAACCCTCCCTGGCCTCGGCTTGTCTGAGGGATTGAGTTGGTCTCCCTGTGCCTTCAGCTGGAGTACCTTCTGAACCGCATGGTGAAAGTGGAGGACTACGAGAAGCAGCTGAACAAGCAGCGGGTGTGGGACTGCGAGGAGTACAACATGATCAAGATCAAGCTGGAGCAAGACGTACAGGTGCGGCTGCTCCTCACTCTGCTCCTCCGTGGGCAGAGGGGAGGAGGGCAATGCCGGGAGTATCTCATCTGAGCCACAACCCAGAGTCCCAGAGGCAGCCAGTCATCTGCTTTGGTTTTTAAATTACTACTATTTGTTTTGTTGGGATTTGAACCCAGGGCCTCATGCGTGCTAGGTAAGCAATCCACCATGGAACTACACACCAAGTCCTGAGGAATATTTTCTGTAAGAACCCAGTGGAGGAGAAAGGTCAATGCCACTGGGGTCTGGCGACATGGCACGTGAGGGACTATTGAGAGAATGATGCAGTTCATCCTGGCAAAGGGAAGTATCCTTGGGGTGGCTGTGTCACAGGGCCAAAGCCAGGTCTGCTGCTCAGAGCAGCCCATTGATGGTGTGTCCCCTGTTCCAGGTACTTACTGTCCAGTACCTCTAATCCTTAAAAGGAGAAATCACCCATAGCATTTTGCACATGGGGAAACTAAGGCTCAGAGACAAGGCTTCATGTATAGTTCATGGTAAACTGGATTCAAACCCAGTTCTGACCTTCCCATTACAACAAGAGCCCTGGCTGATGGACAGAAATTACAAGCAGATTCTGATTCATTATCAGAAAGAACCTTTTTAATGTTATTTTTATTAGCACATACAATTCCATAGATGCATACAGTATACTTTGAACAAGTTTACCCCCTCTATTATATTCCCTTAACTCCCCTCCTTCCTTTTTTTTTTTTTTTGGTGGTACTGGGGTTTGAACTCAGGGCTCACACTTGTTAGGCAAGCACTCTTCCACTTGAGCTACTCTGCCAGTCCGTACTTTAGTTCTTGATGCAGGAAAAAATGCTTTTTAGTTTTAGGTCTTCCATGCTCATTTAAAATTGTAAAATGGGCCATATGCAGTGGCTTATGCCTGTAATCCCAGCCACGTGGGAGGCAGAGAGCAAGGAGACTCTTGGTTTGAGGCTGCCCCTGGCAAAAAGTTAGGGAAACCTCCCCCACCCCATCCCAGTCAATAAAAAGCTAGGCATGGCAGTGCATGCCTATTATCACAGCTATGTGGGAGGAGTCCGGGCTGGCCCTGGTGGCAAAGCTGCAAAACCCTATTCAAGAAATGATGAAAGCAAAAAGGGTGGAGGTATAACTTAAGCAGTAGAGCACCTGCCTAGCAAGGTCCAGGCCCTAAGTTCAAACCCCATTACCACTGGGCACCAGAGACTCATGCCTATAATCCTAACTACTTGGGAAGCCAAGAAGGGGAGGATCACAGTTCCAGGCCAACCTGGGCAAATAGTTCAAGAGTCCCCATCTGCAAAATAGCCAGAGCAAAATGGACTGGAGCTGTGACTCAAGTGGTAAAGCACCTGCTTTGCAAGGATGAAGCCCTGAGTTCAAATTCCAGTCTCACAAAAAAGAAAAAAAAAGAACCATTACTGCCAACAATAACAAATTGAAAATGGCCCAGTTCATCCGAGGTGCAGGCGGCTCACGCCTGTAATCTTAGCTACTCGGGAGGCAGAGACCAAGAGGATCACAGTTCGAAGCCAGCCTGGGCAAATAGTTCATGAGGCCCTATCTCAAAAACACCCAACACCAAAAAAGTTTGGCAGAGTGGTTCAAGTGGTAGAGTGCCTGCCTAGCAAGCCCTAAATTCAAATCCCAGTACCATCAAAAAAAAAAAAAAAAGGCCCAGTTCACATTTAGGAATTGTATTTTTAAAATTAGGATATATTTGCTGTACAGAGGGATTCATTGTGGCAACTCCGGATAGGCTTTCATTGTAATACCAGACTATTAACTCCCCCAAATTAAATATGTGCCAAGTGTGTTGGTACACATCTGGAATCCCAGCACTTGGGAGGCTGAGGCAGGAGGATTTAGAGTTCAAGGCTATCCTGACTACAGCCTGTTTCAAAAAACCAAAAAACACACGTTACATGTTATTTATTGAACAAATATTGTTAACTTACATTATGCAAATCTCAGTGATAAACAAGAACTTGTCATCCATTGAGTAAGAAAGGAAGCTACATAATCAGTACAAAAATTAGGGGTCAAGAGTCTGGCTGGAGAGGACATTTTCTGCCTTCTGGCTCCAGAATGGGGCCTCGGTCCCCTCCTAGGGCACAGAGGAGTCTTTGGGGTCATCCAGAAGGCAGAGGAGTGGCTGGTTTCAGTGCCCACTCTGTGGGGTGTTGATGGCCTCTTCTCCTGAGCCTGTGGGCAGCACCTGGCACCCAAGAGCAGCTGGGGAGAAGCAGCACTGGCTCTGTGAGAGGCACCTACACTACCCTCACCAGGAAGCACTTTTGTCATAAGTTATCACAAAACCCAAACATCATGCTTGGCTGTTAGTCTTGGGACCATAAAGTATAACTTTGCAAAAACACCTTTGGCTAATTGAATAGCGCAGACATTAACAAAGTCAATTACAATTTTTTTTTTTGTGGCAGTACTTGAGTTTGAACTCAGGACCCTGCACTTGCTAAGCAGGTGCTCTACCACTTGATCCTTGCCCTCAGCCCTTTTTGCTTTAGTTATTTTTCAGATAGGGTCTTGTGCGTTTTTGTCTGGGTTGGCCTGGGAATGATGTCCTCTTACCTATGCCTCCTGAGTAGCTGGGATTACAAGTGCGAGCCACTACAATTTTTAAAAATCTAAAACTATATTCAATATATAACAATCAAGGATGACTATGTTGAGACTAATACCTGAGATAATTGACATTAAAGTCACTGGTTCTAAAATCATCAGGAGCATAGGTGTGAAGACGAATGATAAGCAGCGTATGTGTCGTTCCTAAGTGCACCCTGCACCTTAAGCCAGCAGGACTTGTCCTGATTCTGAGATCTGGTGGGGTGTGGTGCTGGTGGCACTGCTGTCTCCTTAAGAATGTTCTCTAGCAGAGAGCATGAGCAAATGTTTGCCACAGAGGAGAAAAAAAATGGTCAGTAAATATTCAAAAGCACATGCAAGCAAAGAAATGCAAATCAAACCAGTCAGGTGACAGGGCTTTTTTGCCTGTAAAATCAGCCCAGAGTTAAGCTCTTTCTGATCACAAAGGAAAGAGGTGACCAAAGTTCTTCAGTTCAGAGTTTTGTACAGCGTGTACAGAGTTTTGTAGAAGCGGTTTCACAAAGCTAACAACAAAAAATGATACTAGTGATTTTTTCTCTTTGAAATATATTTTAAAATATGTAGGGAAATTGCAGTCTATTAATACCATTATTATGTCATGATCTGCTTTTAAAAATGAAATTTACCTGAGTTCGTGCGAGCGAGCTTGCATTTGAAGCTCACATGCTCTCCTGTTATGAATCTAAAAGTGGTTCCGTGTCCAAGCCATTCCTCGTGGGAATGGCCCACTGCAAAGCCTTGGGAAGCAGGAGGCCCAGGGAAGCCTGCGACAGCCACTTGTTGGCGTCCTGATCCAGAGCGTCTCTGGAGACCCTCCCTCTGAGTGTGTCCACACATTTTCAGACCACCACTGCCACAGTTAGCTTTTCTCCTGGTGGGAATTTGCACTCCCGGGGTCCACACTGTAAACTGCTCTTTGGAAAGCAATCGACCTAGTTTTTGGGGTGTGGTGGCACTTACCTGTAATCCTAGCTACTCGGGAGGCAGAGGCAAGAGCACTGTGAGTTTGATTGGCCAACCTGGGCAAAGGTGAGATCCTGTTTCAAAATCAAAATAAAAACACAAAGGCGGGGGGTTGGGGGTGGGGGTAGGTAGAGCGCATGCCTAGGGCACCATAAAAAGCAAGAACTCAAACAAGACTACCTTAAATAAACAAACAAAATACCCCACAAATTTTATATATAATTTATGCTAGTATTATTTGTAACAGTAAAAAGTATTAAAACAACATAATAAGCAACTATAGAGAAATGGTAAAATATTGTGATATATGATAAATATTTCATATATGTTAAAACAATATATGAAATTATGCAGCATTAAATGGTGTTAATAAAACTTTACTAATATGGAAAGTTCTTGTGCTATAATGTTAGGGGGAAAAGGAGGCACAGTTTAAAATGATAGACATAGAGTGGTGTCATCTATGTGCAGAGCCCCGGAGGAAGTTAGTAGATGTTGCCTCCTGGTGGTGGAGGCCTGGGGAACTCCTCCTGTCCTTTCTGTGTTCCTCCAACTTTTTCCATTTACTGTACTTTCTAAATTTTCCACAATGAGCAAATTTTTTGCCTCTGCAATGAGAAAAAGTTCATATAACCTGAAAAAGTAAATAAAAATGGACAAAAGAAACGAGCAGGGTGAAATTAGTCAGGGAAACTATGGCTCTTGCTGTATGATCTGTTAAAGAACAGACATGGTGGCCTTGTCCAATGCTTGTCTATTGAGTAGAGTAGTTGAGTAGAGTGCACTTGACTGACTCCCCAGTTACAACGTGAGCTCACTGGATTTCACCCTGGGTGTGGGAAAAGGACACACCTCCTGACCTGATGATGTGTCACCGTGTTTATTCTCCTGTGTGTCACCTCCAGTCAGTCATCCTCCCAAATGACCCCAAGGGGGTTGGAATAGCTGCCTGGGATCACTTTCTCTGTTGACTCCTTAACAATAGTCTGTAGCCCAGAGGAGGGAGACAGGAAGATCTGGGTGACTTCATTGCCTTTTCCACTCCTACCCTCCACTCAGAAAAGGCAGGAGGCCAGCTGGTCGGTATTTGCCCTGCCTCCAGCCTTGCCTCTAATTGCTTAAAAAATGAATGAATTAACTTAAAAAAATCGATCAGTCAATCAATTATTTTGAGACAGGGTCTTGCTATATAGCTCTATTTTGTCTAAGCTGGCCTCAGATTCACAGTCTTCCTGCCTCTGCCTCCTATGTGCTGGGACCTCTCTAATCTGTTTTCCACAGACTGTCAGAGTGATCTTTCTACAGGGCTGCTTCATGGTCACCCTCATCTCTGACCATCCTGGCCACTTGTTTCACATCTTAAACTGCTTGTGCCTCTCCCTTGCCTCTGGGTCTCAGCACAAGTCTCCAGAGCTCACTCCCCTTAGCGTCAGCTGAGTGACTTCTAGACATTCTCCAGTTCACGCAGGTATGCTAACGCCATCTCCTCTGGGACTCCTTCCCTGTGCTCAAGGTCAAGCAGAGTACTGCTCTAGTGCTCCCACAGCACCCCGTGCTTACCTCTCTCTCCCGTCTTGTCACTGCTGTGCTTGCTTTGTCTGTTTCTGTCCTAGACAGGGCAGGACTGTGGCTTTATTCACCTTGAAAAATGTCTGATGTATATTAGACACTCAATAAATATTTGCTGAATGAATAAATCCAGCTCATGGATATCCAGGAAGCAAGATGCCTGTCCTCTTCAGTGAGCACAGGCAGCACTACACTTCCATTCTAGAAGATCAAAGTAGGAAATTCCAAGTGTTTGTGGCAGCATTATTTTTTACGGTGTGTGTGTGTGTGTGTGTTTGCGGTCCTGGGGTTTGAACTCAGGGCTTACACCTTGAGCCACTCCACCAGCCCTATTTTTGTGGTAGGGTTTTTTTTTTTTTTTTTGAGATAGGGTCTCACAAACTATTTGCTCAGGCTGGCTTCAAACTGCGATCCTCTTGATCTCTGCCTCCTGAGTAGCTAGGACTACAGGTGTGAGCCACTGGGGCTGCCCATATTTCTGCAGGGTCTGGTGCAAAGTACCAGGATTAGTTGAGCTTGAAAGCTCTCACCATGCTGCTCTTTCCTAGCTTGGGGCACACAGATGTGAGCTTGTAGATGGTTGGTTTGTATTTTATGTATTGGCCTTTCCTTTGCTCCTACTGATAGAATTTCTAAGAATCCAGGTAGAGGCACTTGTCCCTAGGATCCTCTGTGGCTAGGATGTAACTCAGTGACGTGATTGCCTATCATATGAAAGGCCCTGGCTTTGAGCCTCAGTGCTTCCCTCCAAAATGAAAAATAAAATAAAGGAACCTAAGCTTCCTCTGGCATGACTTGAACAAACCGTGGTGGTCTTCAGGCACAACAAACTGTGCCAAGACCAATTTGTTATTTTACTAATTTTAGATTCTTGAGCAACAACTTCAGCAGATGAAAGCAACTTATCAGCTAAACCAAGAGAAGTTAGAATACAACTTCCAGGTGCTGAAGAAGAGGGACGAAGAGAGCACACTGATTAAAACCCAGCAGAAGAGGAAAATCAACCGGTGAGTTAGCACAGAGCTTCTTCCTTCTGGACCCTTCTATACTGAGAAAAGGTATGGGTAAGTACTTTTCTCTCTGGAAAGGGTAGGAATCCATTAAAAATACTGCCAACTCTTATTAAAAGTTTCTTTTTGAAATAAAACTCCCCCAAGAAAATAGTATTCAACAAAAAAAATCTTTTTCCCAGCTTCCATTTGTCTTGTTCCTCATTCTCATCTTTGGCACAATATTTGTTTTCTTCCAAAATTTCTTTATTTTTTTTCTCTACTTGAATTTTTTTAAAATTTAATTTTATTGTTTTTATATTTACTTACATGTGTGTGCATTAGTTGGGCCACCTCCCCCTCCTCCCCCAGAATTTCTTTATGTATGCACAAACACAATAAATGTTCTCATCCCTCTTCTGCTTTTACACAAGTGGAGGTGTTCTCGAAGCCCTGGTCCGTATCTTGAAGAAATTACCACTCTAGTTCATAGAGCGCTTCCCACTCCATGGCATAGATGGAGCATGGTTTAGTTAACCATCTCTCCTGATGGACATGCAGGTTGCTTCTAGTCTTCTCTTGTGAACAAAACCAATGTGACCTCTCAGGCCAATCTGCTTTGGGGCTCACTGGGAGGTACCTACTGCTTGGAATTTCCTCTGCATTCTTCCCCTTCCCTGCCTTCTTCCTTCCATTCCTCCCACCTTTCTTCTTCCTTTAAGGATTCTCTCCTAAGCTCCAAAACATTTTGCTGGCCTTTGAGGATCAGAGTAAAATAAGACATCTTGTTTAAAGGAGACAAGATTGAGGATTTTTCACTAAGCCCCAAATATCCTGCTATTATTTAAGAATTCTTCTACAAGTAGGTTGGTTTTACATTTTGAACAAATGTTGACTACATAGGGAAATAGCCATTGAACTTTTGATAGACACTTTTTTTTGGCAGTACTGGGGTTTGAACTCAGGACCTCTCACTTGCTAGACAGGTGCTCTACTGCTTGAGCCATGCCCCCAGCCCCCAGACTGATAGTTACTTATAGCAGAAAGCATGCGCTGGCATCTTAAAGCCGATTATCTGAGAAAGGAGAGTGACTAGGGAACAGCATTTATGGGAAGAACCCCCACCATATGCCCCGTGCTAGAAAGGGGAACGCTGCAGAGACACCAGCCAGTACAGTGGGGAGCTATCTGAGGAAGTGGTCCAAAGACGTGACCTAGTGAGAAGAGTAGGGACATGGGTTGGCAGAGGAAAGGGCAGCAGCCACAGGCAGGAGGCAGGAACTGGATGGTGTAGGTCACATGTGGGCGACGAGGGGCTGCACGATGAGCCCTGGGCTGAGGCACCGAGGCAGCGCTGGGGCTGGCACACAGGGCAGAGCGGAGAGGACAGTGCTCCCTGTTCAGCGGCTCTTCCCTCATGCTTCTGCCTCACACAGGCTCCCTTGGCCTGCAGAACCCTTCTGCTTCTTTCTACCACTTGCTAGGACTTTTTTTTTTTTTTTGGGGTGGTCCTGGGGTTTGAACTCAGGGCTTCATGCTTGGGAGGCAGGCACTCCACCGCTTGAGCTGCTCCTCCAGCCCCTGCTGCTGTCCTTCCTTCTGCTTTCATTGCCAGCTTCCTTTCCCATCGCCCACCTCCAGCACTCATAATCTGACCCCTATCTTGGAACCTTTGTGTTACTGGAACACAGTACTTGAAACTGGGTCATTTATAACAAACAGAAATTTATTTCCCGCAGTTCTGGAGCTATAAGTTCAAGGGCAAAGCTCTGAGGCCCCGTCCTCTGGAAGGCCAGACACTGTGTCCACTCAGCCGAAAGGCAGAAGAGCAAGCTGGAAGCCACGGTGATACCTTTTTATGAGGGCCTGACCCCATTCACAAGGCCTGTGATTAAGAGGCCACACCTCTTAACAGCATCACACTGGAAACACCTGCATTTTTGGGGGGGGTCACATTCAAACCCCAACAGCCTATGACCCGGGAATTGGAGGGAAATTCTCCACAGTGGAAACCAGCCGTGCCCTTCTGGTCAGACACAATGGATTCCTCCTGTGATTGTTGGATACTGAATTTTTCTCCTTTAGTTTTTATGACCTGAAATACTTGCTCTTCTTTCTTAATTTATTCCTTTTTTCCTTAGATGGTTCTGCTTTTTCTTGCCCGATATTTCTGGAATATATAGATACGATCCTAGAAAGCACCTCTAGGGGAAAAGAGTGGTCTAAGTCTCCAGACAGCAAGAGAGAGTTGTAACCTGGCCATGAACCCAGACACTGTGGTCTGTGTGTCTGAAGTGGCATTTTCGGAGGAAAGCCCTGGCCTGGGTGAATGTGAACTCTAGCACTTCTCACCTTTTATTGGTATCAATGTTCACCTTTGACTAGACTAATAGTACCTTGTTTTCAAACATATCCTTGTATTCATCTCTGTATTCCAACAAATTTTTGGCTTAAAAGAGGTATTTCCTGTTGGACGAATAAGTGAATGAGTAAATGAATGAATGAATGAATGAGTGAACGAATAAATGAGACCCTGGCCCTGTTAACAGTATCAGCTATTTGAGGATGGTGGATTCTTCATGTATCATAGACTTGTGATGTGAAGTTATAATTTTTTCCTTGTTTCAGAATTGAAATTGACATCCAAATCATGACCAGAAATAGTAGATATAAATTATTTAAATATGTCAGGTGGGCCTAGATATGGACACCTTTATCAATGGTGTGTTGAAGAAGGTTCAATCACATTTTTTTTTGGTTGTACTGGGGGTTGAACTCAGGGCCTTGTGCTTGTCACTTGAGCCATGCCCCCAGTCCTTTTAGTTTATTTTTCAGATAGGGCCTGACACTTTTGCCCTGACTGGTCTCAGACCACAATCCTCCTACCTTTGTCTTCAGAGTAGCTGGGGTATAGGCGTGCACCACCATGCCTGGACCTCAGCCACACTCTTGAGCAAGTGACTGCCTCTTGATGGGTTGGGCTTCTGCGTTGGTTTAAATGTGTTTGTTCTGGATGCTTCCTGTGCTCTTTCTTTCCTTGAACACAGGATTTAGAATATGTGGGAAGGGACCCTGCATTTGTTGTAGAATCGAGTCAGGTAGATGAGAGGAACATTTTTTTCTTTTTTGGTGGTGGTGGTCCTTGGGGTTGAACTCAAGCTTCATGCTTGCTAGGAAGGCACTCTTACTGCTTGAGCCACTGTGCCAGCCCTTTTTGTGTTGGGTATGTTTGAGGTACAGTCTCATGAACTGTTTGCCTTGACTGGTTTGGAACTGAGATCCTCCTGATCCCTGCCTCCTGTGTAGCTGGGATTATAGGCGTGAGCCACAGCTCCCAGTGGTAGGAACATTCTTTACTACTTTCATTCAGCTGCTGCTTCACTCTTTCCCTCTTCAACCAGGCTGCATGATATACTTAACAACCTGAGATTAAAATATGCCAAGCAGATAAAGCAGTATCAGGAGGAGAACCAGTCTCTGACCTCTGACTATCAACGTCTTGTGGTACAGTTCAAGGAACTACAAAAAGCCATGAGGTATTTGAGGGACTTGGGTCCTAGAGTAGTGGTGACAAGGTGGGAGGGACAGTTAGTAGCAGTGATTTGATTAGACTTGAGATCACAGCATTTTGGGCCCTAGCTCAGGGTACCGAAGACTCCTTTGTTCTGTGTTCCTCTGTCCTACTTGTATGTATGTCACCTGCCTTTTCTTGTTCCTTGTTGGGATGGCTCCATTTTATCATAGATTGGATCAGCTGCCCAGGGGTTGGGCCAGGCCAAGGGTTTACCATGGCTGTTTCTCATGTTTTTTCCCTGCTGCCAACTGGGGGGACCTTAGCCAGGTCTGAGGTCAGCTGGTCCTGCTTGGTGACTGTCCTTCACAGGCATTTTGCTCTTATCAATGAGGAGAAGTTTCGGGAGATTTGGCTGATGAATGAAGAGGAGGCAAAGGCTCTAATAGTCAAAGCCTTTGACATCGACAGGATCATCACAACCCAGCACCTGGGGCTCCCCTGGACAGCACCTGATTTCTGGTTCCTGAAGAACGTGGGGCCTATTTCCCAGCAGCAGAAGCAGAAGACTGCTGCACAGATAGTTGAGGAAGTGCTGATGCAAACAGGTGATTAGAACAGAGTCATAGAGACTTAGCATAGGAAGAGGGGACCTCTGAGAATGAGGGCCAATGCATCCATGTCACAGATAAGAAAACAGAGGTCTAGGAGGCCGGGCAGCGTATATTATTGATACAGCTCTCAAGTCTCCTCTCACTCTCTCCTCTAGTCTACACTGGTAGTCACACCACACGGGAGTCAGATGTGGGTTCAACTTGTTTTTACTAAGTACGGTGCTGTGTACCTGTGTGGGGCAAATTAAAGTCAGTCTCGCTTTTTGTGATGTTAGCAACATTAACAATCACAGTCACTGTCTAAGAGCCATTAATGGCACTGGGGTTGCAAAATAGTGATATTTTATTTTTTGTGGTACTGGGCTTGAACTCAGGGCCTACACCTTGGGCCACTCCCCCCAGTCCTTTTATGTGATGGTTTTTTTTGAGATAGGGTCTTGAGAACTATTTGCCCAGTTCTCATGCTTCGAACCATGATCCTCCTGATCTCTACCTCCTGAGTAGCTAGGATTATAGGTGTGAGCCACTGGCACCTGACAAAACAGTGATTTTTAAATTCTATCAAGAGACTTTCTCTCACCAGCTATTCAATACCTTGAGATGCAGTTTGTATAGGAAAGGCAGGTTAGATGCTCACTTTTTAAAATTTATTTACCAGTTTTCAAAAGAATGAATTGGGTCTCTAGAACCTTCCAAGGGTAGCAGTAAGTTTTTTTTTTTTTAAAAAGTGCATTATTTTAAACGCATGGATTGAAACAAATTGGATGTGTTTGAGTTACTGCAGCTGCTATCTACACTGACCCTCTCACTGTCCCATCTGTGGTCAGTGGGAGTCTCTTTGTGTCAGTGTCTGGGTCCTTTGGACACAATTCAGAGGTCTTTGGTGGCTTCCTGGCTGTCTGGAATGAAAGATGATTCAGGTGCACATGATATTCTTCCTGTCTCAGTAATTTCTGCTGTGGTGCTCATTGTTTGGGGCTGGCCATTGTTTCTAGGCTTTTTCAATGGGCAGAGCCAAGGGTATATGGCTATTTTTGGCAGGGGGTGGTGAGGGGTCTGGGGTCTGAACTCGGGTCTTTGCACTGCAAAGTAGATGCTCTACCACTTGAGCCACACCTCTAGACCATTTTGCTCTGGTTATTTTTTTGGAGATAAGCCTCTCAAACTATTTGCCTGCACTGGCCTTGAACTGTGATCCTCCCAATCTCAGCCTCCCAAGTAGCTAGAATTACAGGCATGAACCAAGGGCACCAAGCTTATAAGGCTTTCATTTTTTTTTGTAGTGAAAATAATAGTAAAGTTTATTAGGTAAGAAATTTGGTATAACAGGATAAAAGTAAGGAGAAATGGGAAGAAAGAAACATTTCCTGTCCCCCATGCAAGAAATGGAAGTAGAGACTCAATAGGGCTTTTTTTTAATGATCAAATCATGAACTCATCCTAATATTTCCTGATTAACAGGACACCAGGATTTGCACTTTACCTTATCAAAGTGTGTCTCCTTTCTTCCAACTTGAAAAACCTAATATCCAAATGACTGCAAATACTCCACGGAACAACCTCAGAGGAAAATCCACCCACCCACCACCTGATTGCTAAAAGTAGTTTAAACTTTTCTGTGGTTCCTTTTGTCCTTAAAAGAGATCCCATTTGGGATGTACAGACAGATTATTGTATTTTAAAGTCACTTGCATTAGTTTCTGTGTGGTTAATGTCACCAACTAGATACACATTTAGACTTCCTGTTTCAATTATTTGATTATTACGGTTTAATTTTGTTTTATAATTATGTAAAATATTTACATTTCCAAAGTCAAAATGTACGAGGGATGTTTAAATAAGCCTAACTTTCATTCCTTCTCCTATCAGGAGCTATTTAAAAAGCTGTAATGGACTGGAGGTATGGTTTAAGCAGTAGAGCCCTTGCCTAGCAAAATAAGGCACTGAGTTCAACCCCCAGGACCACCAAAAAAAGTTATGATTTATTTTTTCATTGCTTTTTTTTTTTTTTTGCACTACTGGGATTGAACTCAAGGCCTCAACTCTTGATAGGCAAGCACTGTATCACTTAAGCCACTACACTAGTGCTGTTTTGTGTTGGGTATTTTGAAGATAGAATCTTGTGAACTATTTGCCTGGGCTGACTTTGAACCAGGATCCTCTTGATCTCTGCCTGTTGAATAACTAGACTTACAGGCATGAGCCACTGGCACCCACCTCTTTCATTGCTTTAGAAAATTATAAACATATATATATATATATATATATATATACATGTATAAATTATAAACGTATACATATATACATATACATACATATTTACTCACATCTACCTATTTTTAGGTAAGAGAAAGCATATATATTTTTTCACTTTGCTTTTTTTTACTTACAGTATTCCTGGAGATCCTTGTATTGTAGTAAAAAGTCACATTCTTTTTCATGGGATGCTCTGTTGTGTACCTGTGCCACCAGTTATTCAGGTAGTCCTTTGTTGATCATCACTGGAATGTTCCAGTTTTTGCTTTGTTTGTTTTCCTGATTGCAAACATTGCTGCAATAAATAACTTTGTTCACTTGTCTTTTCATAGTTTTGCTATTGAATTGTTGGGATAGACCCAAGAAGTAAGACTGCTGGGGCAAAGAGCAAATGCCCTTTGTGATTTTGTTAAATACTGCGGCACAGACGGTACCATTTTGCCTTCCTACCAGCAATTTACTGTCTTATACTTTTCAGATCCATATTATCTTACCTTAGGAATAACCAGTAAAACCTGGATAATGCAATGATTTTATTCCCATTTTCTGATGAGGAATGTAGAGTATGAAACTCTAAAACATTTTTAATTTTAAGATAAAGTTTGAAAAAAAAAAAAAAAGAAAAAGCTTGGCTTTTACTGTTAACTGTTGGTTCTTGCCGAATGCTGCTTTAGGAGGTAGCTACTTTCTACCCTTTCAATTGGCTGCTTCCCAGCAACTTTAGAAACCAGGTAGCACGCTTGCTAGGTGGCCTGCAAAATAAGAAGGAACAGGCTCACACTCTTCCCCACTCCCTGGCTCACAGCTGGATTTTGAGTTTGAGGCCTCCAGGTAGATGTAGTTTGGGAAAATGAGTCCTTATGGACTGGCTGGGGATGGCTGAATTCTCTGATTCTGACCTCCACGCCTCCTGTCTCCACACTGAAGGCTTTCCTCAACACACAGAGATGTGTTCGGCCACAGAGAGGTACATTTGCTCAAGGAAAGTCATCTGTTTCTCAAAGTCAATGAGGTCAAGAAATTATTTCCTTTCTCTTTCTCTCTTTTCTCTTTGACCCATCTGCAGAAGAAGAGGGGGCAGAAGAGGTGGCTGCAGAAGCAGAGTCTTACCTGGACCTGCCCAAGCAAGTTTCAGCAAAAACCACCAAGAAGATCCTGACGCTCCTGTGTGATGAGTCGGTGAGGCCAGCAGACGCTGCTTCCAGGAGCTGCTTTCCTAGGCCTGGAGCCAGGAGTGACAGCACCCCTCTGGCCATGTGCAGAGAGGGGGCCTGAGGGTGGGGCTGAGGTTGACTCTGGATGTGGGAGGCAGTCCATAGAGAGGCCTGGCTGGCAATGGCTCTTCCCATAGTGGGTCAGCGAAGTGTAGTTTAGACGAGATGGTAGCTCCTGCTCACTGAAAATAATGCTCATTCTGAGTCCCATGTTCACCTCCATAAACCCACTTGCCAGGTGATGTGGCCTTTCTTTGGCGTCTTAGTTTGAAGTCACCCTGAGTATTCAGCCTTGGATACCTGTGTTGTATGTTAATAGAAAGGATTAGACTTAGAGTGACGGCTGTGTTGGAGCTGGCTCAGCTGGGTTGTTCTCAAACATGTTTGGTGTTTATTTAGGTGCTATGGTTCTGAGGTGGGTGAAAGAGCTGGAGCAAGGCTAGGCAGCCTCGGTTGCCTTAGGACAGACAGGGCAGTTTTCTTTGGTGCAAGGGCTGATTCTTGCCATCCAGGGTGGCTCTTGCCACTGGCCACCTCCTAATGAGGTCCTCCCCAGGCTCCCAGCTCAGAGCCGACCCTTGTGCCTGTATTCTAATCTGGCACACAGCCCCATCCCGCAATGCCTTCTTCTCCTTTCCCCGGGGGTTGCTCTTGGGGAATACAGGTAAATTGGGCACTGCCTCTAGGTCCAGTTGGGGCTAATGTGGTGGCCCAGGTATTTGCCCAATGGCTGTGGATGAGGTAATGAGCACCTTTCTGAGGTGGAGGACAATCTAAATTCATGATAAAGACTGACTCTGTCCCTGACCTCATTTTCCAGGACTGGCTCTTGGGCATCCCAAGATGGCCTTTGTCTGGGCTTCACTGCCCACAGCCTTACTGCCATGCTCTGCTCTGTGGAGTCATCCCTGGAGAGTCACATAGAGGTGGCTGCAGACCTTGTGCCTTGTTCCTGAGACCTGTTTCTGACTGGGGATACTGTCTTTCTTCTCAGGGTTTCCTCATAGAAAGCAAACTGCTGAGCCTACTCCTTCCCCTGGAGAAGAGTGAATGTTACCTACTGAGGTTGGACGCCATCTTCTCCGTGAGTCCCACTGGGTGAAGAGGATACAGGGGGGGCAAAACCTGCTTCATGCCAAGACAGTCCCTCAGTCTTCCTGACACTGTGTCAGCCTGAAACTACATCACAGCCTCCCTTCAACTTGCCCTCCACACAACAGACTGGCCCCAGCATCATTCAGAGCTCTCCCTTCCCTCACCCCTCCTTTCCTGGTTTTTCTCCCTCAAGTCACTCCTATATCCCAAACTCAGATATGTGTTCGGCTCCCTCTTAGTACTCTTATGCCCCCCAGCTCTGTATGGAGCTGTTTCTGACTCTGAGTTTTGACTTTCTGCTCTGATGGCCCTGAGTTCATTGTAGCTTCCCAGCCCTGGACCAATTCTGGCTTCAGGGATGTTGAAGGGAGCAAGCTGAGCCTCCTTCTCTGAGGAGCTGAGAGGTCTGCACCCCGTTTGTGGCCTCTTTGATAGGATGTCTAAGCAGACATCCTGCTTTTTCCCCAGGCCCTTGGAATCGAAAGTGAGGATGACTTGTATAAACTGGTGAACTTCTTCCTTAAATACCAAGCCCATCATCTATCCTCCAGCCAGGTAAGCTGAGCCACAACTGGAAAGCCCATTTCCTGTTTTTCCAGAAGCACTCCCAGAGGGCATTGCTGTCTTTGAATAATGCTTTTGGAGACACTGTGTGTGTGTGTGTGTGTGTGTGTGTGTGTGTGTATAGGTGGGGAGTAATACCAGGAATAGCTGATGGCATTTTCCTAATTATTTGTTTTTATATTTGCAAAGAGAAGATGGCTGGGGATGAGATTCTGTTCTCAGATTGAGGCCCAAGGGATCTTTTCCTGGGTCCCCCTCAAAGGCAGCCTCAGCCATTGTGAGATCTGGGTCCCCCTGCTCTGTGGATATTCATCCTTAACACTTTCTTGCAAAGCAGGGCTCAGTCGTAACACTATGCATATCATTATTGTAACTAATTTCAGTACAAGAATCAACTATTCTGGAGAAGTCACTGAATTTAAAAGTTATAAAATTTTAATTAAAAAGTTAGAATTAAAAATGTTTTTAGTATTTTTTTTTTAGCTAGTTCCAGGATGAGTTCTCTGATAGGCTTTCAAGAAAGATTTGGCTGAGTGGACAAAACTGAAAATCCATAGGGGGAAATGATTCATTTGACCTCATTAAAATAAATTCTGTACCATTTGTTTGTCTATTTGGTGATACTGGAGTTTGAGCTCAGGGCCTCACGCTTGTTAGGTAGCTACTCTACCACTTGAGCCACTCCACTAGCAATTCTGTAGAGCAAAAATCACTCTAAGCAAAGTTAATAGACAAATGACAACTGGGAAAATATTTCCAACTCCTATCACAGCTAAAGGCTAGCTTTCTTAATAAAGAACTCTCATAAGTCAACAAGAAAAAGACCAAAACTTCAATGGAACAGGTAATAGGTATGAATGGATACCTCCTAGAAGAGGCAGTACAGGTGACTTAAACATTTGAAAAGATAATCAGCCTTTCTTGTGATAAGTGACATGCAAATTAAAACTGCCTGAATTCCATTTTTGTCTGTCAGGTTGGGAAAAATCTGAATGTGTAATAACAGTGATGATTGGTATATTCAAATGACACATTTACAAGTTGCCAGTGGGGGTGTAAATTGTCAGCTCCAGTGAGGATAATTTGACATTATCAATTATAAAACTGTATATACTCTACCCTGCAATTTTTATAGGATTTTGTTCTATGGATGCATCTTAGCACAGTTGAAATGAAGCGTTTATTGTAGCTTTTATGTTGTAACATTGTTTGAAATAGATTAGAAAAACTTAAATGTCCATCATTAAGGAATCTATTTCATAATAAATGGTGCAACTCCACCATGGGTGCTATGCACTTGTAAAACCCCCCAAAAAACAAAGAACAAGGAAGTTCTTTAATATTTATGTGAAAAAGTCTGTAAGATTGAAATGATCTGTGAAAAAAGCAAAGGACAGAATTACAGGTGTAGAAACATTTATGTAAAAATGGGAAGGAAATGTGTATATGCATTTGCTCATATAGACAGACTATTTGCAACTGAGTGTGGTGGTATGCATCTATAACCCCAGCTATTTGGGAGACTGAGGCAGAGGGATCATGAGTTTGAGGCTAGCCTGAACAACAATAGGGAGATCCCATTGGAAAAAACATTTTTTCCAGTAGACATATTACATCTTTGGAAGGAGAAGTGAAAATCTTGATGACGTTAGTTTGCCTATGAATGAATCAGGAGACAGGAATAGGAGGAAGACCTTTTTAAGTTTAAAACTTAAGAGAGAATTCATTTTGTATTATGATTCAAAAGGATATTTATGACATGTAAGTTTTATGACTATGGACATGAGGAACACCTGTGAACTCAGACTTTGAAATACATCGTTATTATTTCCTTATGCCTCTTCTACCCATCCCTCTTCTTTTCCTTCTCTCTTTCTGTCCTGGTGTGAAGGTCTCCCTCTGCAAGTCTTCTGTAAACTTTGCTCCATCTTCTCTTGCTGCTGCTCTTCACCCTCAGTTTCTCTTGCACCTTTCTCCAGATCAGCTTCGGAACTCAAGCAAACACAGAGCGAACAAGCTTGATGTCAGCACTGGACAGATGGAGTTTGATGTCAGCATTTGGGAGGCAGAGCACGGTGTCCAAATCAGAGCACAACCCTGCAGAGCTGCAGGAGGCTCTGGAGGAAGGAGAGGAGGGGAGCCTTGTGGGCAGGGAGCTGAAAGAGGAGGTCCCGCCTTCACCCAGGCTCATCCACCCCAACCAGGTCCTCAAGGTTCTGGAGGCCTTCGTCATGGGGCTGAAGAATCCCAGGTGCGCAGTGATGCTAGAGGGCTTGCCTGAGACCCGGGGGCACTGAGGGGCTGGGAGCCCAGCAGAGGCGCGTGAGAGGCTGCTGGGCAGAAGCTTTGAAAATGGTTGGACCTATTGATGAAACGAATGGGGTATAGCAGTGGTTTGCACTTTTTTATTCGTTCATTCACTCATTCTGCCATGTGTAGGCACCGTGTGGGGATAACACCTTAAGATCAGAACAACATTCGAAGCTTACAGGAGGTGTAATGCTCCTTAGAGGAGGAAGTAGCCATCCCTGTTTGGCATGGCCACTTCCATGGAAAGGGTTTGGGAGGAAGGAGTTGGTGCCAGAAATGACTGTTCCTACATGAGCGAATTGTAGGGGAATGGGCATTTTAGGATATGACAGCTTAGGGAAAAGCCTGGTGTGTTCAAGAATCATGGTTGGTAGGGATAGCTGAAGTGTCTTGGGTCTGGGAGGTGGGGCTCATGGATGTCACTGATTTGGGGAGCCACACCAGATCTTGGAATGTCTTGCCCAAGGCCTATGAGCTTTGTCTTTGTCTCAGGGCCTGGAGCCAGGAAAGGGTTTTAAGTACTGCGGGAGCCATGATTGACTTGCATTTCAGAAGGGGAGCCAGTGATACTGGACACAGGGAGAGCAATCTGGAGGCTTGTCCAGGTGGGAAGGGAGGATGTCCTCTTTTAAGCCCATCATGGAGGGGATGGAGGGCAAGAGGCAAAATTCCAGAGCTGTTTTGGATTCACTCATGAAAGAAAAGGGCACAGGAATGAGTTATTAAAGCCAGTGAGATAACTTGGGAGAAGGAAGTGGGGGTGGCTAGTGAAACTTCAAGTACTTGCTCATAAAGGTGACAAAAACCCAAGAGTCAGGAACATGGATGCTAAGCAGGTATACTTTCTGAGAGTGCCAAAATCTAGTAGAGCTGGCAGCTGGGTGGGAAGGTGGCAGGTGAAGAAGCAGTAAGTGTGTAACTAGACAAGCACGCTACCACTGAGCTACATCCCCTAGTCCTAGTGAGTGTGTAACTAACTTCAGGCACTGATCATGGCACTGCCTGGGGACCTGGGGTGTCAGGTGGAGATCCTGGCACTAGTGCTTTCTCTTGACCTTCAGGGACTTTCCCACACCACCAAGAAAGCGGAAAAATGTGCGAGATGACTCAAAAGACTCCCAGTATTGGGAGGCCCTGACCAGCGTTATCCCTGCTGCCCAGCAGAACCTCTGGGATGCGCTCTACACAGCCTTGGAGAAATACCAGTGAGTGTGTGGCGAGGCCCAGGAAGAGGGAGCCCAGCAGGCTGGTGGGGACGATCGATCACGCTCAGCACAGTCACGTTTGCTGCCTCCAGCTCCCAGACTGAGCTCCTAAAGAGAAAAGCTGCCATGATGGGGGGGCAGCCTGTGGATGGGTGGCCTGCCCTCTGGCCTTGCTTTTACTATTCTGTTCTGCTAGCCTGGATGGAAGGCAAGGCTTCCCAGGTCTTCCTCCTGCTCCAGCTAGAACAGAATCACAGAGGCCTGGCCCTGACCCGGCAGAGGACAGAGAATTCAGAGGACTTCTTATCTGTTTTCCTGCTCAAAGCCTTGTGCTGACACAGAGGGCCACGCTGCTGGTGGAAACCGATTCTCTGGAGCAGCAGAACGTGGACCTGCAGGCTCTGCTGCAGCAGTACCTCCAATCCAAGGTGGGCAGTGGGGGCGGGGCTTGTGGCTAACAGCAGCGTTATCTCTGTTCTTATCCACATCAAGGTGGGCTGCAGAGAGGCAGGGCCCCAGGAGGTGGGGCTAATGCTGCTAAGGTACCTCTGCTCCAAAGTGGGCAGTGAGCAATCCTGCACTCAGGGCACTTTAGGTGGAGACAATTACTGGCAAGGCCTGTAGTATCTCCAAGGCAACTAGGTTGTTCCGGTGACCCTTTGATGTTCATGGTTTTGGTATCACCCTGTTGGGATCAGTCTTTTTATTTATTTTAATTTTTAAATATTTATTTATTTATTTTTGTGGTACTGGAATTTGAACTCAGGGCTTACACCTTGAGCCATTCCACCAGCCCTTTTTTTGTGATGGGTTTTTATGAGATAGGGTCTTGTGAACTATTTGCCTGGTCTGACTTTGAACTGCGATCCTTCTGCTCTCTGCCTCCTGAGTAGCTAGGATTACAAGTGTGAGCCACCGGTGCCCCACAGGGTCACGCTTTTTAAAACAGTGCAGAAGTTTGGAGTAGCTTCCCAGTTTACAGAACGCCTCGTGAGCATTTCTTCAGTTCTGCCAACCACCCTGCCAGGGAGCTAAGCTGAAACTGTTCTCCCCACTTCACCAAAAGGAGTGCCCTGGGCTCCTTCCACTCGGCTAGCCCAACTTCCTTGGCCTGTGATGTGACTGGGTGTCGTCCTCACAGGGGGAGAGGAGGTTGTGCCGGGCCCCATTTGTGCCACCTTCAGTGATAATTATGGCAATTTCTCCATGGCCTAGCCAGACGAGAAAGAAGTCCTTCTGTCATAGCTGTTGCTCTCTGCAGCTGGTGTAGGGTTCTTCTTGTGGTGCTGAACCCACAATCCAGGAGTGTCCTGACAGTCACCAGCCTCACATGTATGCCGTGACTGAGGCCATCCTCAGGACACTCCTGGAAGCAGATGGGTTGAGCCTTGGCATCATGATGGCCTGTGGCAGGACTCAGACATTTGGGGACTATGTGGCTCCTGCTTCCACAGATGCTTTCTGTATTCAAGAGGATGGAGAGGAGGTTGGAGCTGGGCTAGATTGAGGATGCGATGGCTAGTGAAGAGGGGAGGGGTTTAAGGGGATGATGATGATGATGTGTGTGTGTGTGTGTGTGTGTGTGTGTGTGTGCATCTGGGTGATGAAGAGCATTACCAGAGATTGCTAGTGGGAGCCCAAGTCAAACAGGAAAGAAAGCCCTGGCTTGGCTTCCAAGGGAAGATGGCCTTTGTGCTTTCCTAGACGACATCCTTGGCTTTGGAGAAGACGTGCTTGCAGGGATTGGGATGCTCTGGGAGAGTCAGCATATGCATGTGAAGCCCCAGAGGCTGAGCAGAGGAGGGCCTGGGTAAGGACGTGACCTTTACCCTTTCTTTTCCAGATAAACTCGGAACTCCAGGTTCCTCCAACTCAGGTGTTCCGGGTGCCCACAAAATAGAGGCGAATCCCCACAGTCTGAAGTGACCAAGCTGGTGCTGGGTCACCTATCTATACCATCCAGGGTCCTGGGACCACTCTGGATTTTCCAAAGAGGTCTGTATTGGTCTGTCAAAATTAGGCAGCAAGAGAAGTTACCTGTTCCTACATTTCAATTAAAGTCTTTTGACAGCTAAGACAGTTTCTTTATAGGTCTGGTCTACAGACCCCTGCCCCTCCCTGTGTGGTATGAGAGAACTTTGTCCGCTGGCTCAGATTGTGGTGTGTGACTGAGGCTGGTGGCCTGGGGTGCCCTTCTTGCTCTCGGGCAGCTATTTCTGTGGGTTGAGGTTGGAGCTTTGGGGCCCTTGAGTAGTCTTAAGCCCTCAGATTGTCCCTAGGCCTGAAGGACTTTTTCAGTGCTTTGGGGGTACCGGCGTCCACTTGGTATGCCCTTTGGGCTGTAGTGGGAGGATTCTCTTGTTGGGCAGCCTAAGCAGACACCCCCGTGCATGAGGCCCACCTTAAGCCCTGGGGTACAAGAGGCCACCTACAAGGGAAAGGCGTACCAGCCCAGAATGCCCACCAACCCTGCTCCCTACACCGATGGCTCTGTTCTCACTGTGCCAGTGCAGACTTGTCAGCTCAGTATCTGATTTATTATATTAAGAGAAAAATCACACTCAAGAAAGGAAAAACAGCCAGGAAAGCCCAGATGCAGGCAGGGAGCAGCAGTTCAAGTGCAGACTCCTGACTGGCTGCAGGGCAGGGTGAGACTGGCTGCCTCCAAGGTGGGTGGGGACAGTGCTCCTGTCCCGGCTTGCAAGCACTTGCCTGGGCAGAAGCCCTGGGAAGGATGGAAATCCACAGGCTGACAGGACAGGCAACTTCCTGGGAAGGAGGAGGAGCAAGAGGAGCAGTGGGCAGGAACAGCTATCTCCACAGCTGCAGGGCTGGGGGGTGGGCTGAGGCTCAGTGCCGCAGAGCAAAGACTGCCAGTGCTGCCTCTGCGGTGGGGCTTGTGTTTGTTGTGGATGGGTGCTAATGCTCATTTATTCTTTTCCCAGCCCTGGGACTGACCCATGTTCCTAGGTCAATTTCATTAAAACTTTAACCCCTAGATTTGGAAAGCTCAGGAAAAGCTGGGGGTGGCTGTGTCTGGAGCAAGCCTTGAAGGAGGGTGGTGTCTCAGCAAGGTGGGGCAAGAAGGGACTGGCTCTAGGTCCCCATTGTCCCAGTGCATCCCACAGGTAGGATTGGAGGGGCAGGACCAGGCAAGTAGCAGATAGGTGGCAGGGGTTGGAGGGAGGGAAGCCCAGAGGGCAGGAAGTAGGCTCTGGGCTTATAGGTGAGTTGGGAAAGAGTTCAGGCCATAGGAAGGCAAAAGCAGCAGGCCCTGGAGAGGAGCTAGAGGTGGCGGAGGGGCTTCACGCCCCTAGGAGCTTCTTGACCATGTAGCCGGGGAGGCTGTAGAGGAAGAGGGCCAGCATGAGCAGCCCTAGCAGAGCCAGCACAATCTTGATGATGAGCCACTTGTACCGGGTGCAGATGAGGTACTTGATGGATTTGAGAGGGTTGAGGAACCACACGAAGGCTGTGTCAGGCCGGCTGGGGGAAGGAGAGGAGGGCAGGTGCTGCTCAGGCAGTGGGCACAAGCTGCAGCATCCCTCTGTCCTTCCAGACCCCAGAAACCCTGTTGCAGCCTCAGCCCTGAAGCCAGAGTACAGCCCATATCTGCACACAAGATCTGCTGCTCCCAAAGCCCTGTCCTCACTACAGGCCTTCTGCTGCCCCACCTCCACCCCCCCCAGGCCTAGGTGGCATTTTTGGCAGGAGGGCAGTCATTCAGTCTCAACTTGAATACTTGCAGCTATGGGTGGCTCACTACCTGGGGAGGGGGCTTTGGCACTTCAGGCCGTTCTAGTCATTAGGAAGAACCTGAATTTAGAAGGTCAGTGTTGCCCTGTGTTCTTGGACCAGTGGGGCACAACCTCTTCTTTTCTGATGAACACAAACTTTTGTCCCCACCAGGCCCTGCCGAGCCTCTGAGCAGCCCCAGTGAGGCACCCATCCCAGCCTCACAGACCTGCTCACCAGCAGGGTGCCGACCACTCTGCCTTCTGCAGAGCTTCCTAGCCAGGAGGTGCCTGTCAAGGTTCACTCTCTGCAGTTTGTGTTACAAAAACAGTATGCTCCATAAGATGGCAAGATGCAAAGTGCAAGTGATGACCACGCCTTTTCAAACTACTGTACCATCAAGAGGACATGTGCTGTGCTCCCAGAGCTAAGCTCAGTATAAGTGGGGGCAGGCCATGGCGTAGGTGCTTAGTTTCCAATCCCAGCTGTGGGAGACAAGTGAAGCACCCCCTTAAGCCTTGATTTCTTCACTCACACAATGAGAGGAACGGGCGCTGTAGTTGAGAGACAGTGGATTGGCAGTTTGTCACCTAGGTTGGAGTTCCAGCTCTGGCCAGGTGGTCTTTTAGAATAGTGATTTTTAGTTCTGAGAATCTATGATTCTGTTTTGAAAGCTTGGAAGTTGTTGTGTATGCTGTATGGGCTGGTGGGTGTGTGTGTATATATGCTTATGTGCACGTGTACACTCCTGTGCACGTGTGTGCACACATGTACTTGTGTGTGTGCACACACATGCTTCTGTTGTGCATTTGTGTGTGTGTGGCACATACTGGCCAGCCCTGATGCAGAGGCGGAAGGGAGAAGTACCAGAGCAGGGAGACTGTGGGGCTCAGGCCCCGAGGATCTTCTTGGCCAGGTAGCCGGGCAGAGAGTAGAGAAACAGGGCGAGCAGGAGGAGCAGCAGCAGTTTGAGGAGCAGCCAGCGGTAGGTGTGCCACAGGAAGTAGCGGGCAGACTTGAGAGGATTCAAGAACCAGATGAAACTCGTGTCGGGCCGGCTAGAGCACCGGGAAGAGTAGGGGGAGCATGGAGAAAAGATGGGGGGATGGGGACCAGGTATAGCGATCAGCCCTTGCTGATGGGAAAGTGCACCTGTGCTGTGTGTGGAGTTTAGGCACCTCTTGGGCCTCAGGATTGGTTGGGGGCCCCAGTGCCACCACCAGGGCTGCTTGCCTTTGTCAGAAACTAGGAAGAGCCTGTATCTGCTGGGTGGGGTCCTTCCTAGGAGAGAACCTGCCTCCCTGTGGGGACAGCCCATCCTGGTTCCGAGGGAGGAGGTGGTACTCAGGGGTGAAGGAGGGAGCTCCCCTGCAATGAGGCTGTGGCCCAGGAAGGGATAGAGAGGGTGCCTGGGGAGTGGGGCAAGAGGACCAGAAGGTCTGGCCCCTCCTTCCTGTTTAGCATGGCTGGGGGTCCAGGCAGGCAGGGAACTTACTTGGGTTTCTCTAGGGGGTCAGGTTCATTGCGGGCTAGGCCCACGGGATTCTTTTCTGCCTCTTCTGCTGTCAGTAAGTGCAGCTCGGCCTCCACCTTGCCCTGCAGAAAAGTACAGAAAGGTCCAGTGCCCAGGCTAGGGGCTGGGCCCTTGGTATCCCAGCCCAGCCCACTCCCAAGCAGAAAGCTGTGCTCACCGTGAGCTCAAACTCATCATTCTCATTGCGAGCCAGGAGGGGCCACCAGCCTTTGACGCGCTTCTGCTTGAAGATGGAAACCAGGGGCACATCCACCTCCCCGGTGGCCATCTCTATGGTGCACTGCTTGGCTGTCTTTGCGCCCCTTGGGAACCGGTTCAGGTCCAGCTCAATGGCCCCTGTGGCAAGCTCAGAGTCAGATCTAGGTGAACCTGGCACAGACTCTGGCCTCTTTGGCACCTGGTTGGCTGAGAATAGATGCTCCAGCATCCTCTTGCCTTTCTCTCTACTCTCCACCCCGGCACCTTGCTTTGCCCAGGCCCTTCCTTAGCCTGGAGGGTCTCTCCTAGTGTCTGCCACTGCACTTAGCTGTGCATCGGCCCTGTCACAGCTCTGCTTATCTCACAAGCTTGCACATGCAGGTAGAGTCTAGGGGGAACCTCAGGGTTCGGAGATGCAATCTAAGACCAAGAGAGTTTCCTGCCTCCCTTAGGGAGCATTCCTGATCTCCTATCAGTGTTTATTACCTCCTCTTTGGTCTCCCCAGAGCAACCATGTCACCCTGGTTATGACACTGAAGACATCTGTCCCAGGTGTGGCAAGGGAGGCTATAGAGGGCAGCAACCCAGTCTGGTATTTCTGACTCTGAGGACTAGGTGGGGTTGACCCCTGCATTCCTTGGGGCGGCCTCCATTTTCCCCACCATCTAGTCCTGGATCCCAGGCCCCTGCCCAATTCTGCACCCAAGAAGTCATCTGCGGAGAAGTGGTCAGCATCCCAGATCTGCAGGGTGAGGCGCGCAGGGATCTTGTACTCTGTCTCATCCCAGGAGAACATGGACTCCTTCTTGGAGATGACAATCTTCTCTTCGGCTGCCAGGTAGTCGAAGGGGAACAGGTAGCGCCAGTTGAAGTTGCCCTCACCAGTGAGGGAGTGGTAGTGGACATCTGTGTCCTGCTTGTCTTCCTGCTGGCCCTTCAGCCACCTGCCAGTGCCACATGATCCAGACTTGCAGCTATACCTCGGGGACCTTTTCCCACCCTGCAGCACCCTTCTCCTCTCTCCCTTGGGGAATTGAGTTCACCCAGCTTAGCCCCTCCAGACACAGGGACCGCTCACCTACCCCCGCACGAAAATGTCACTGGACTTCTCTCCAGTGAAGAAGTCATCGTCCTCCAGGACCACCTCATCCGTGTTCCACACGATGACACGCAGCTCATACCTGGGCGGGGACATGAGGGTTGATTACAGCTTGGAGTTGGGGGTTAGCCCAGGTCCTGGGGACTTGGGTTGGCAGGAGGCTAGGAGAGCTGATGGGGGTCAGAGGAAGGCTTCTGTCTAGTGGGCCCCAGGTCGGGCCAGACTATCAACCATGCTCACACTGCCCTGGCTCGGGGATAGCCAGTGAGGCTGGAACAAGGACCTGAGCACACTCCTGGACAAGGAGACTAAAGATAAGGCAAGCAGAGGAGAGCAGCTGGCTACTGGGAGTGGCTGCAGTGAGGCGAGAGTCAGGAGCGCCTTCTGTGTGTTTCCAGAGGATCCAGTTCTAGGAGAAATTTATCGTTAAACCCAGTGGCCTGCAATGGAAGCCAATGTACTCCGGTTGCCTTTATGTCCTTGTCCCCAAAGAGCATTTTCCCCTTAAGTTTTCATTGTAATTATAAATGAGGTATTTATGTTTCAACCTGGTTGAATCATCCATTAAAAATGGATAGGAATATCACTGTACTGGACTGTAACCCAGGGTGACCTGTTGGGTTGGATTGCTACCTAGTGGTAGACTCTGGAACAGCAGGCTCATGACCTCAGGATTGGAGGATATTCCAGGCACAGCTGTCTGTACCATTTGCCAGGACACTAGCAAAATGGAAATGCAGGGCCCCTGGTTAAAAATCACCAAGAAATTCAAGACGGCAACATCAGAGCATGAGAAAATGGCTCTACACGTCTAGAAAGCTGGCCCTGAATCCAGGCACTGAGGGTATCAGAGCTGGCAGTGACTCCATCCTGTCACCTGTACATGGAAAAACCAAGGATGGGGGTCGCAAAGTGGCCTCTCGAGGGTCAACAGGAAAGGCAGGTGGCTTGGTTCCTAACGCAGAGCTCCTTCCACTCCATCACTCCTGTCATTTCTAGGAGCTCACTCCTGCCTATGCATCACAGGTACTTGAGAGAAAACCCGGCAGACCTTAACGAGGGATGCCGAGCTGGCCCTCAGTGGTTCTGCTTCTTGTGTATGACTGTTTGCATGTGGGCACTCACGTAGGTGCCCATGGGATTACTGGGCGTGAGCACAGGTTGGTGCATCTTTGTGAGGGTGGGTGAGCACTGGAGAGTACAAGGGTCATCTCATCCCCTGTAGGTAAAGTAGACAGTGTGTCGCTGCCTTGGCAACGAGGAGCTGCCCAGAGCAAGTTCCACAGCTCACGGCTTGGCCTGTTTCTTTCCTAGAAGGCCTGGCCACACCTGAGGTCCAGAGAATGGGGACAGGCCATCTGGACCTGTGCCTTCTATAAGACGGACTAGGCTGAGGTGGGAAATGGGTGAGGTGGGGACAGGAGGGGGTAGTGCCCACCCCTGGCAGCTCACTTCTTGGGCTTCCTTGGGGAGATATCCAGAGGTGTCCCAGGGGCTGGCATGTCCATGGGGAACATGTCCACCCACAGCTCCAGGCGGCCCTGAGGAAGAAGGGATATGGTCGATATCTTAGGGACCTGTCCCTCTACCCAGTAAGACCCACTATCCTTTTCATGTCATCAGTTTCCACCTTTGGATGCCAGGAATTACTATGATGTTCCCCATAGCTAACTACAGCCCCCGAGGCAGCCACCTCGGTGCTGGAATCCTCACTCAGAGCAGAGACACTTGCCATTCAAGTTGGCCTTGGTGGGGAGGGCCTGCCAGGCTCTCAGGAGTGCAGTGAACAGCACGAGGCCTGTTTCTATCTCTATGGGTCCAGGCTGAGAATTCCCGATCCCAAATACCCAGGGTCCTCCCAGTTCCTAGCTAGGTAGTGTCACCTGCTCGATGCCCGGCTTGTCAGGGTTGAGCAGTGGCCTGGTCTCCACGTGTTCTGGCACCAGGCGGCAGCCCACTCGGGGGATGTCCTCCCAGTGCTTCAGGGCAGACAGTGCCACGTGCTCGTCCGTGGGCTTCCTTTGACCTAGGGGTGGTGCCAGAGCAGCTGCACACATGGGCTCCCCATGTACCTTGGCCTTAGGGGTTCAAAACTCTGAGCCATCCCCTACCCATCTGCCTTCATTTTAACTTTGGGGAGACTGAGGCACAGAGAGAGAAGTTGCTTGCCCAAGATCCCAGCTGCCCCACAGCCTAGAGAGGTCTGTGCCCTTGACTTCCCATCCTTGGAGAACCCGAGCAGAGAATGCTGCTAGGCTGTGATAGGCCAGGAAAGAAGAATCTATGTCTGTCCCAGCACTGGAAAGTGATGGCACAAGCTTCCCCAGCACAGACACCTTCTGAGTCTCTGGGAAGTACCTCACGAGCAGAGTAGCGGACAGGGTGCAGGGCTTGGCCCTCATTCTGCTGGGAAAGCATGTGACTTTGGGACTAACTGGATCTCAGTGTGCCCATCTGCAGAATGGGGATAAGCTCCCTGCCCCATGGGAATGAAGTGCGGAGAGAGAAGGGAGTGTATGGGAAAGACCAGTGCAGGATGGGGTGGAAGACTCAAGCTAAGGGGAGAACAGGCTAGGCCTGGAGGTCCCCTACAGGGAAGTCCCTGCTGGACTCTGAAGCTTCCAGAGAGGGGTTGGGAGGCTTGGTTCAGTGCTCAATACCATTCTCATCCTCGATCTCAGAGGGCCCAGTGAAGACACGGTTGGCCACTTTCACTCTCCCGGGGGGTCCAAAGTGGGGGCCATCCACTTTGCCCTCTTTGCAGAGGCGGGTCAGGATCTGGCTGGGCTTCATGGGGTCCCTCCAGATATTATAGCCATGTCTGCAGAAGAGAACATAGGCTTGAGGGACTTGGGCTGGGCCACCCCAGGTGACAGCTGGTTCCTGCCAGTTCTCTAAAATTGGCTGTTACCCATGTCAGCAGGTGGCCTGTCTTGGGCTCCAGGTTCACCCAAGACACCGGGGCTGATGGAGGCTGACCCTTCTACCTCCAGCTTTGATTTACATGCTCAGTGCCCCCCAGTTATCACTCCTCTGTGCCTTCTGTTCTGGAACATCAAAGGCTCTCACGAGGAGACTGATACCAGAGAGGTTAAGGAACTTGGCTAGGGTTTAGCGGCAGAGGCTGGCCCAGATCCCCAGAGGACTCTTCCACTTCTCTGTGGCCTTGCCCTTGCCCCTTTCTCCCCTTGTCCAGCTTCCTCTGTCCTGGAGTCCCATGGTCCTTTCCTTGCCTTGGAACCTGCAGTTCTGGTCCCCTCTGCAGAGGGGCAGAGGCATGGCCCGGGACAGAAACCATAATATCCCTGCATTCCCAAATCACCACCTATGAATCTAAGTCTTAGAAACAAGGCGTAGCAGGTGCCCCGCCCCTTACATACGGCTCCCTCGCCCCGCCCCTTTCCCATGCTCCGCTCCCTCGCACGTGGAGTAGGTCTGGGCGATGCCGCAGGTGGCGCGGTGCTTGCTGTAGAAGCGGTTCTCCAGGTCGATCTTGGTTTCCCCAATGAGGTCATCGGTGCCTACCAGATCCCAGTCATACACGGCCACCGTCAGCATGGATTCCATGGGAAAGGAGGCCTCAATGTCAAAGGATCTGGCAGGTAGGGTTAGGAGAATGGTTACAGGTTGAGGGTGGATGTGACGGGGGAGTCAGGGCGGAGGAAGAAGGGAGGGAGGACTTACTTCCCAAACACCGGATTGAGCTGCTTGGAGATGTAATTCTCCTTGTCACGGATGTCTGTCTTGCCTAGCCTGATGGCGATGTATGGGTCAGCTTTGCCATTGATATCAGCGGGGTGTAGGTCTGTCGCCTGGGGGAAGGGAGAATGCAGCTTAAGCAGACTCCCTAGTGACCTGTCCCTGAGGGTCCCATGATGAGGCAGGAGTCTTGCTGTGTGTCCCTAGGTAAGTTGCTTTCCTTTTCTGGGCCTTGACTTAAAAAGATGGGGACTGTACCAAATGACCTCCGTGCTGCCTTCCAGCCCTGGACTGTTGATTTGCTGTTGCTTTCCGGGCAGGAGGACTGGGAGACTTGAACAGAGAGGACACAAAGGGAATCTCACCCGGACCACGTAGATTCGGACCAGCACATTAATGGGGTCATTGCTTGGGATGCCCTGGAACATGCCGTAGGTTGGATCATAACCAGCTTCCCTGGACACATCCTCTGGGAGTGGCACTTTGTACACACAGAGGGAGCCCTGGGGTGAAGCAAGGTGGGTGAGGCTCAGGTGGGGACACACAACAGGGGAGGCATTCAAAGTAGCTAATAGCACAGGGAGGTCTAGACAGTGTCTTAACTAGCTGCTGGATCCTGGAGGCAGTGGCCAGGGTAGCGATGGGGGTGGGGGGACAAACATGAGGAGGTTGTGGCGGGGCTCTAGGTCTGGGCCATGCTCCTTGCCTGACCTTGAACCGGCCCACGATGCGCTCCTCCTCAGCTGAGCCATCTTCATCATCCCCCGTCTTGCCCCGAAGCAGGCTGAAGGTGTGCAGCCAGTCTTCAAAGTTGTCGAACTCTGACTCCAGCTCCTTGGGGTACACCTGAGCCAGGCCAGGCCATCAGGCCAATGACTGTCAATGGCTCTTGTCCTGCCCTACCTGCCCCCTCCCACCCCCAGGCCCTCACCTTAAGCTCATCAATCTTGGGTTTCTTCTTCTCAGTGGCCTCAGAGCCTTGGCCGGGGCCGAGGCTCTGAGTTCTCTTCTTTTTCTCTTCCTTTGCAGCCCTTGCCTTGTCCTTGGCCTTCACTGGCCCCTTCATGCCTGATCAGAAGCAGAAAAGGAGATGGGCCAGAAGTGACCAGAGCAGGAAGGCCTGAGCTCAGACTGGGCTTTGACTTGTTTATGGTATTCTAACTTCTGAGGCGCACTGCACTGCACTGTGTGATACACAATATAGTTGTGTCTGGGAAAGTGGATACAGACTGTTGTCTGCCCTTTGGCAGAACAGGGCTGGGCAGGAGCCAGGTCTGGAGTGAGAAGGCCTGTGTGCCCCTGTCCCCTCTAGCTGAACTCTACTTGTCCATAGGGTTAACAAAGTCTGTATTAGATTTCCCAAGCCACATCCAGTGTAACACCAGGCGTAGATGCTGTTGGTGTGCTTTAGAAGAAAGAGGATGGTGGTGGACTAAGTTGGCGAAATAGTGTATACGGAATCTTCCTTTGAGAGATTTATACTAACATTTGCATATTAAAGCCACAGAGAAGTCCTGCACCAAAGGAACCTGTATAAACCAGTATCTCCTGAATGAACTGGACCACAGACCTTCTCTTCCCTCTAGAATAGCCATTAATATTGTTCCATGGGAAAAGATCTGGAAAACGTGGAGTGGGATGAGCTGGGAGGGCCCTTTTGGCTCTGATAGTCTGTGGCTGTAAATATCTGCCCATCGCTGTGGTTGCTGAATTGGTCACAGTAAAAACCACTCTAGATAAGGGCCCTAGCCTAATCCCCAGAACCCAGGGTAGGGCTGGGGAGGGGAAGCCAGAGGGGACTGGGGCTCACCCTCTGTGTGGTCCATTTCCTCCTTCTCTTCCAAGTCAATTCCTGAGGTCTCTTGTTGCCGAAGATGCTGCCAAAAGATCACGTGACTTTCCTGATGCCCAGGCTGTGATTAACCTTTGTTATCACACAGTACCCTAAGCATCTGTCACATGTCCATTCTGCCCTGTAGACTGGGGCTACTTGGGCAGGTGTGGCATCGCATCTTTGGGCTGCCACAGCACCTGGTACAGGTATGGTTCATCATGCAGACTCCAGAGATGTTTGTGAATGACACAAATGAAGATAAGAGGAAACCAAGCCAGGGAAGATGGACTAGACCACCAGCTCCGGGAAGAAGGGAGTGTGCAGTCAGATCACCTCCGCGACCCCAGCCTGTGCCCAAGCCTCACCTCCTTCATGGTGTCGACGGAGGAAAAGTACATGGACCACCAGTCTAGCATGCTCTCATCTGGCTCTTCCTCCTCTGGCTCTTCCGAGGCGCCCTTCTTCTTCTTTTTTCTCTTCTCCTTCTCCTCCTCAGCCTGAGGGTTGGCCAGGTCTACAGTCCTGCGGGCTCCCCTACTCCCTGCCCTTTCCCAGAACAGATCCTGAGCGCTCCCACACATTCTGGCCACCTGCTCTGGGAAAACCTTGGGCTCCATGGTACTCTGAGGGGCCACTGATGTCCAAGGGATGGGACCTTGTTTTGTGGAGGAGGATGCCACAAAACAAGGCCCATGACCTGCCAGCAAGAGCCAAGGCCAAGGCAGGATTGGCACTTGGAATGGGGGATGGCTCAGCCCCTGAGGTTGGGCCCTCCAGCATGACATCTGACACATGTAGGGTTCTCTCACCCCAGGGCCCTTGCACTCACCACGTCCACCTTGACAACGGCATCAGAAGTCTGCAGAAGGGAACCAGGGAGAGAGGACAGAATTAGCCATAGGGGACAAGAGGACAAATGGGGGAGCCACAACGTGCACACAGAGACAGATGCTTATTGTGCTGTGAGCCCCTTGCTGAAAAGGTTGGCTTTTTTTTTTTTTTTTTTTTTTGGTGGTACTGGGGCTTGAACTCAGGGCCTCATGCTTGCTAAGCAGGTGTTCTACCACTTGAGCCACTTTGTCATTGGAAAGGCTGGCTTTGCACTCATAAGCCTGATGAGGTTGCCAAGGGCCTGCAGGCCCTAGGAGGCAGTCACTCTCAGCCCTGTCTGCACATTAGTCACCTGGGAGCTTTTAAAAACCATCTGTGTGGACATTGCTGAGTTGAGGATGGGGAGTTGGGCAGCAGTGTGTTTAAAACCTGGTGATTTCAATGAGCAGCTGGGGTTGTTGGGGAGAGCTGAACAGGAGTGGACAAGGAGGTCAGTGATGCTGGTAAGTGAGGTCGACTTCACTCTACTCTTTCCTCACCAGGGCAGGCTGCCCTACAGATCAAGTGGACACACACAGCTGTTAAGGCTCTATCTCTTGTACACACCATGCATGCCCAGGCACACACATGTACACATGCAGCACACACAGACACTAGGTCAGTGTTCACATGAGTTGTCTGGACATGCAGTCAGGGCTGGCCCTCCACAACCACATGTGGAAAGAGACTCAGGGTGGCTCTCTCAGGGTGGATCAGCCTGGCTCATGGGACACATCATATGTACATGTGCGTTCCTGGCTGGCACAGGGCCCACCTACCCGCCTTACCGCGTCCAGTTTCACCATGGTCTCCAGCTTCTTGACGGGCACCTCAGGCTCCATGCTCACCACGACCTCTCCTGTGGAGTGAGAAGAGGGGCCCCCATTGCACAGCACATAGCAGCCCTGAAGAAGCCTGACTGGACAGAGACAGACAGACAGGCAGACAAAGAAGGAGCAGAGACACAGTAAGAGTCAGGGAGGCAGGCAGAACAGGGGCCTAAAGCCGATTCTGGAATTTTCTGAGGAGAAAGGAGGGACAGGCTAGTTGCAAGAGCAAATGAGCACATGAGGGAGAAAGCGAGCCAGAGAGAAGGGTGAGCCACTAGGGGACCCAACAGCAGAGCAGAGGTGAGACCTCTAGGGAGGCTGGAGGGAGGATTGGGGCTTCCCTATCCCCAGGGGAAGAGATCATTTGACCTCAGCCCTTCAAGGCCTTGTCCAGCGCTGGTCATTCTGACTCCAGGGGGAAGCCTTGGGCAGCCTTCTTGACCCTTCCTGCCCTCCACCACAGCCCCATGGGAACTCCCCCAAGAGAAACTCTGGTGATTGCTTGCATTGGACTGTGATCAAGAGCCCTTCTGGGCTGGGTGGAGCCAGGTCTGGGCTTCAGGGGCAGCCATACCCGTGGTGTTCCAGTTGGGGGCCGAGCGGTCTGGGGGCCGGTAAATGAAGCGCCGCAGGGAGCTGACAGCGTGCGAGCCCACCAGGGTGTAGCGGCCAAAGGCCCGACAGTCCACCACCCGGATGTTCAAGGGCGGGTGTAGGAGCTCATTCTCTGGGAGGTCCTGGGGATGTTGGGGACACGCAGCCTAAGCCTCAGAGAAGGGGGCAGAGGAGCCCAGCTAAGGCCGGCTACACTGGCCACACCCAGCTCTGCCCAGTTCTGTCTGGGCTGCGCTCACCACTTCAAACCACTTGACCAGGGTGTTGAAGTTGGGGTTCTTCTTGTAATTGTGGATCAGGGATGACTGCACCCCTTTCCCTGCACACTCAATATCCACCCGTGGCCGGTCTACTTGGGCCAGATTCACTCGCTTCAGGTCCCTCAGGCCCCAGAACAGGACCTGGAGAGGGAGGGAAGGAGGGTCACTCAAGGGAAGGAGCCAGCCTCTGAGAAGGACCCAGTCATCAGGGTCAGTGGGTGGGGGCAGTGCCAGGAGAGCCGATGAGGTGGGAGTCCTCAGGGGTCTGAGGATGAGTGTGGGGGGAGAGAGAGGAGGGCTGGGAAAGGCCCTGGTCATGGTGGGGGTGACTCAGATGAGGGCAGGCACTGGCCTGGGCTGGGAGTCTGGGTCTGTTGGCTTCTGGAGGTGACTGTGGGCAAGTCACTTCCCCTCTTGGACACTCAGTCTCCTTATCTGAAACTGAGGGGTGGGCTGAGCGAGCTAGGGGATTGCCCGCCCACGGTGGAATGTGCACACAGGCTCCCGGTAGAGAGACAGAGAACAAGGAGGGCAGGCAGAGACCACAGGGCAGGGACACAGAGGAAGAAGGGGCTTCATGCACCTCCACGCGGTACTTGCTGAGCACAGGTCGGATGCCCACAGGCACGGGCATGATTGGCCCTCGGTCCATGTCCACTGGGCCGTTGATGGGGGGCAGGTCAGCCTTCCCTGCTGGCCCAATCTGAGGGGTGGGGGACACAGGTCACATGCTAGGGAGCCCAAAGGGAGGGAAGTTGCTTCCCATGAATCAGGGGAGAAAGGTCAAAGGGCTCCAGGTCCCTGAACCCCGCCCCCAGCTCTGTCCTACCAGCCTCTCACATGGGAAGAGGAGAGGCCCTAAAGCATAGGGCCCTCCCCCTGTGGCCCACCTGTAGCAGTTCAAAGGCAGCCAGCAGGTCTCCTGCTGTGGCATTGCCACGGTAGATCTGGTAGTACTCCAGCTGGGGTGGGAAGCGGGGTGGGCAGTACGCCTCATCTGCCATCTTCACCAGTGGCTTGGCGAAGGTCCGGCCCATGAAGTCAGTTTTGCCCTGACACAACAAATAACCCAGTTGGTCTCTTGCTGTTTGCCAAACATATTCACACTTGTGATCTCCTAAGGGAAGGTGTGATTACCCATTTTACAGATGGGGGAAATCAAGTCTCAGAGGCCACAAAAGCCTTGTTCAAGGCCAAGCAATGAATGGCAGACACAGGACCCAGGACTAAAAAGAAGGTCCTCCTTCCTCTAGTCCAGAACTCTTGGGCACCTCAACTGCTGATTCGGTTTATAGGAAGCGTTGGTGGCCAACTCTGGGAAGGGTTACCCCAACCCCTCACTCCCCACTCCAGAACCCCCATGGGAAGCTGAATGGCTTATGTTCAAGATAAGTGTGGGTAGAGGGTCAGATCTCCTGGGTGGGGAGGCTGGTGACAGCAGGACTTGCTGGCCCATTTCCTAAAGCCATTGGGCTCAGTGTGCTTGTGCAGGAGGTGAGGATGGCCTGGCCAGGCCCTTGTTTTTTTGGTGGTACTGGGGTTTGGCTTTTGCTAAGCAGGCACTTAGCTTTAGCCACATCTTCAGCCTGTGACCTGGCTTTGAGCCCCACAGTGTGGGAAAGGGTGAGGCTGAAGGGGCAAGCAGGAGGGATCTGGTCAGCAGCCCAGACTTTCAGCTTCCCAGCAAGCACTAGCTGTGCAGGTGGGCAGCAGAGCTTCAGTGCAGGTGGGGAGCAAGGAGCCAGAGGCAGGTATGATGCTGATAGGGGACCCTGATGCCAGCGCCCACTCATACCATGGTGTCCTGGTCGTAAATTTCGATGACAATGATGGGGGGATCGTCCCGCAGCTCGTGAGCTTCCCCATACAGCTCCAGGTTGTCAAACACCAGCATCTGATCCCACGTGGGACACAGCGTCTCATTCAATACCTTTGGCATGGGGAGGGAGACAGGGAGCAAGTAGAAGTGGCTGGGCAGATACCACTCCTAGTTAGGGGGCCCGTGGGGTAGAAGCATTAAGTTCATTGACATTTTTGAAAGTCTTAAAGTCAAGTCTGCTCTCCATGTCCTACCAAGGTCTTCCATTTTCCCTGCCTTATGGATATAGCCCCAATCAAAGCCAGGGCTAGAGTGATCTTACCCAGGAGCACCCTCCTATCCAGACCCTCACCTCGGTACACTGGCTCTGGTTGATAAAGAAGACGCGGGCGAAGGGGTCAGAGAGGCCACTGCTGTCGGCAGCAAAGAGGCCGCGGGCCTGGTACATGTGGGCTCGGAGCTGGAAGGCCTGCTTCTCTGTGGGGAAGAGCAAGCTGGAGCTTGGCAGCAGGCAGTCCCTCTAGCTCTCCTGGGTATGGGCTGGGAGAGCCACTGCCCCAGGCTGAGGAGTCCTCACTCACTGGTGTAGACCAGGCTGATGGGTGGGAAGGAGGGCAGGCCAAGTCCCTGAGCAGCCTTGACCTCCTCGAAGCCACAGGGCAGGCCACACAGGAAATCCTTTCGCTGTTTGCTGAGGCCCAGCCACAGGTAGAGCTCCAGCTTGGCTTGCACGGTCCAACCCGCTGAGCCGAAGCCCCGCTTCCCTGGCAGCTGGGGACAGGTTTGGGGTCACCAGGAGCCTGACAGCTTCCAGGGCCCATGAGGTGAGGGAAGGGCCAAGGAGCTGTGCCTGCCCCTGAATAGTCATCCTATTGGGCTGGCCTGGGGTGGGAGGCCTGGAGGGATGGGCAGGGTGGACTCCAGTCCTCTGAACATCTGCTAGTTGAGGGCTCCACCCTACAGCAGCTGAGGCTTGCCAGACCCAGGGGAGCCCTCATGGGGATCTGGGCTCCCCCCACTCCAGTCTAGGCCCCTGTAGCACCTTGAGGAAGAGGGTCTTGACCTTGCCGCAGTCCTTGCCCAGCTCCTCCTCCACAATGGAGAAGAGCAGGTCCTTGGAGGGCACCCTGGCATAAGCAATGCGCTTATTATTGCTCATCATCCAGATGAAGACATCGGGGATGCTGTGCTGGGGCTGTGGGGGGCCGAGGGGACAGGTCAGGGGGGTCTGGCCTCTCCATGGCAGCCCCCTGAGCCTCTCTGATCCCCGAGTTTGGATGAGAAAAAGCAGGGAGCCTGCGAGGGAAGGACCCCGATGCCTGGGTCTTCCTTCCACATCCACAGAGCTTGCTCAACCTTGCTTCCAAAAGCATCTGAACAGAAGGGGACTCTCAGGATCCCTTTCTGTGCTGCCTCTGCCCTCTGTGCAGGCCACACACCTCATCTGCCAGGAAGCGAAGCTTCTGCAGGAAGTTCTGGCACAGTCTGAGCTTGTCTCGTACGGTATGCCGCTTCACCTGAGCCCGGAGGCTCTTGGCTTGCTGTCCCATGCTGTCCTGTAGGGGAGAGGGTACAAGGGGCACTTAGCTGTTGGGGAGGGAGGGACTGTCGGAGGAGGCTGTGACCTCAGAGCTGATGTCCCTGTTTACTTCCAGACCCTTCGTTGTCCCTGGGGTCCAGCTGCTTCCTCACCAGCTCCCTCATGCAGGATTTGAGTCGCTCCCGGTCCAGCCTCGTGCGGGATGAGTGGCCCTGGTCCTTGTCAGCAAGGGAGAGGAAGCGACTGGGGTGTGGGGGAGAGAGAAGGCCAGTCATTAGCCTGTAGGCACATCTTCTGCCGGCCCTGCCCTGCACCCTGTATCCACCACCTGCTCCCCGGCCCTCCTCTCACTGGCAGCCACAGCTGAGCTCTTCCAGCACGCCCCGCAAACGGCGCTCGGGGTAGGACTTCTCTGTTTTGATCATCTCCTGCACGTCATTTAGGCCTTCTTCCTGCAAATCAGGTGTGTGGGTGTGGGCTGGGCCACAGCCCTGCCTCTCAAGTGTCTTCTCCCCATTTGTCAGGGAAAAGAGGGACCTGGTGACCTGGGACCTCTCACTCAGGCCATTCCCTATTCATCATGAGAAAGAAACCAAGTCTGCAGGTTCTGTTATAGATCCTCAGACTATACTCAGAGGTTTGGGAGCTGGGGCACAGGGTGGGCATGGGGTCCTGCCAGGGCCATCCCTGCTCCAAGGCAAGCCTCTGGACAGATGCATGTTTTACAGATGCATGTTTTCCCCACCTCAGATGCACCCACTCTCCCAGGACCCCTGCCCCTGCCTGGCCCTGACCAGCTTGTCAGCAATGTGATCCATGATGTTGGCGTTGTAGAGGCGACGGCGTTGGTCGGGCCACCAGCTCTTGATGTAGATGCAGGGCTTACGCTCCAGGTAGGGCAGGTGGAAGTAGTTCCTGGAGTGAGAGGCCAAGGGGAAGTTGAGGTCTGTGGTCGTGAGAGGTAGGATGGCCAGGCTACAGAAGGCTGGTGCAGGGGGTGGGGCCCACCTATCTGTGATCTGGGGCCGCATGGGTGGGGTGGAGGACACTGAGGCTAGGTCTCCATCATTGTCACCCTCATCGTCACTAGAGTTCTGGATCAGGTCTACTTCTTCCTCGTCCCCCAGCTCCTTCCGAGGCCGAGGCCGCCGGGGTCGTGACAGGCCATCAACTTCATTCCCATAGTTTCCTAAACACAGAACGAGATGTCATAAGGCTTAGAGTCCTTTCCCCAACAGGCCCCACTTGCCATCCAATCCAGGTGTTACTTTGAGAGAGGCAAAGTCAAAATGTGGCAAAGACAGGACAGAAGAGCAGTCAGAAAAAGGTGCCAAGTCCCCCACCCCTGTAAGGTCTCACTGAGCATGAGGCTCAGCCTAGGACATGGCCAGGATTCCCCTTTTCTCCTCTCCAGCCCCTGGGGGCTCTTCCTTCTTCTCTGTGTCCCAGATGCAGCCCAGCCCTGTGGGCAGAGCAAAGGTTGACCTTTTTGGCCGACAAGAAATGCTCCCATGCAGACACAGAGGTACTGTGTGGGTGGTCACAGACAGCTGGGGGAAAGAGGTCAATGCTGCCCATCCCCAGAGGCTGGGGTTTAGGATCCAGCAGTTACCAGCAGAGCCCTGAGGCCTGATGACTCTCTCTTTGGCCTGGCACTTACCTATGGTCACCTCAAAAGTGATTGGCTTGTCCCCATTTTTCCTATCTATCATTGAAGCTTCTAGGAAGGCTCCAAATAGAAAGAATTCTTCCACCTTCCCTGTGCAGCTCTGTGGGGGAGATAGTTCAAATCATCCCTAAATGTCAGCAAGGTGATGGCCCTGGGGCAGCCGTCCTTCTAATGTCTGACAGATCATTTGGGCTGCTGCTGATGGTGGAGTATCCTGTCCAGCTTTGAGGCAAGGCATCCCAGACCCTGAAGCCCTCAGTCTGGGTGTCCTTGGGAAAAGGGCCAGCTCTGTATCCACAAGGACAGCCATGGCTGGAAAGAGGAGTTTACCATGGAACCTCTGGTCAGGGTGCAGGCAGGCAGTAGTTGAGGACAAAGGTCCTACAGAGGGGCCAGATGAAGCCCTTTGTTCCCTGGGATCTGGCCCCCTGAGATAGACCAAGTAGCAACAGGCAAACCCACGACTCAGCTGCCATAGTGGGAAGGGGGCCGAGTGGGGGTCTTGGGAACAGCACAGTTGTGAGGCTCACCTCTGAGACAGGCGTGGCCTGCTCCACCTGCACCTCTGTGGAGCTGGTGAGCTCAGGGTTGGAGGTGTCCAGTATCTCCACCGCCAGGCCCAGCATGAGGCGGGCACGGAAGGACACACCTTCCCCCAGGCCCTCATTGAGGTCCTGGTGCTCGTCCAGCAGCGTGTAGTTGCGTGTGGAGCCGTACATGTTCACCCAGGCTGGGCCCAGTGTGGGCAGGAAGCCTGCAGCATGGGGACAGGCAGGAGGGACCCCGTCACATCCAGTGCTCCCTCAGGGCAGAGGGACCTCGGTGGGGCTCCCGGCCTCTACCATCTGAGCTGAGCCCGAGGCTTTGTGTCTGCTGGGTTCTGGGCAGCTGTGGGATGGCCTTCTCACATTCATTTAAATATGGTGTACTTTCTCGGGTCTACTTACTTTCTCTGGGGGGGGGGCGCTGGGTGTGAGGAGCAAAGCCATACTCCCTGCTTCCTCACACTTGGAGCAATGGCCACTAAGCAACAAGCTACTGGCAGACAGAAGCCAGCTGCTTCTGTTCATGCTGACCTCCTTGGCATGGCTGCAGGCCCTTTGCCTACTTTGCACATGTATGCCTGCCATGCACGTCTCCTGCACAGGAGACCTCTTCCTCTCTGAGGGTTGTTCCTCTCTGTCTGCCTGGAAATGTCGAATTCTGGAGATGCGGCTTATGTCTGGTCACAAATCACTTCTGTCGTAGGTGGGGATTTGTTTGACCTCATCCAACAAACTGCCTTACACGTTTGTTTTCGTTCTGCTTGGTTTTGTTTTTTGTTTTTTTGTTTTTTTTAACATACATAGCATTAAAAATTGAGATGTCCTTCACACAACACAAAATTCTCCATTTAAAGTGTACATTTCAGTGGTTTTTAGTATATTCATTATGGCATGCAGCCATAGTCATGTCCCAGAACCTGCTACCATCCTCTTCCTCTAAGAAACCCTGCACCTATGAGCAGCTAGACCCAATTCTTCCTCCCCTCCTCCCATGAAAACACCAATCTACTTTTTATCTCTTGATTTTATTCTGGAATCAGAGGACATGTGGCCTTTCCTGACTTTTGCCTGATGCTTCCATCATTTGGCAGTGTGTCTGTCTCCTTAATACCCAGGAAGCACTTGGAGAACAGCAGCAGCATCTGATCTCACTTTGTGGCCTTGTGCCCAGCATGGTGCCTGGATTCCAGGTGGGGGTTGGACACCACAGGCCCATAGGAAGGTGTTACTGCTCTTACTCGATACTGTTGTTAAGTACCACAATTACATATACAGCATATACACTGTAATTAGGTACATATCTATACAGTAATTATTATATACAGTTCTTATTTTCATTTTACTTATGGGAAAACAGGTATAAAGGTCACATGGTTAACTCAAATCCAGTCATCTCTGAGAGGCCTGAGCACGCCTTTCCTGATTTCCCATAAGGAAGGGGATTCTAAAACGGCCCTTGAGATGCTGTCAGGCCGAGGTTTGGGATGCTGCTGGTGGCGTGAGGGGAGTGTCTCATTTACTTCTCCCCTTCGTGGCCCCACCCTCTAACGCACTGGCGCTTCCTGCTACCCACCTTTGTCTCCATCATTGGAAATCTTGCGCAGGTCGATGAGGTGGGTACCGATGGCCACATCGTTGACCTTGTCAGAGTCCCGGATCTGCACCTTCACGCGTTTGCAGAGCGGAGGGAACAGGTCTGTAAAGACGACCTGCTCATTCCACAGGGGCTCATAGCTGCTTTTCTGCACGGAAGTCTTGCCCTGGTGGGAGGGAGCGAGGGTTAGGGGGGTGGTGGGGTGTGTGTGTGTGTACTTTCTTTTCCCGGTCTGCAGCCTCTCACGCTCCCCTGCCCTCATGATCCCCACCCAGCTCTTGCTCTGAGGACACAGAGGCAGGAGGATTCGCTAAGCCCCATCCGCGGCTGAGGTCCCCACACCCATCACCTGTAGCTCTGATGCCCGTCACCCCCCTGCCCCAGCACCCTGCACCTCCTACCCTAGTACCTTCTGGCCGGCAAAGGAGACCTGCACGTAGGGGTCGACGAGGTCTTTGTTTTCGCCGATGAAAGCCTTCTTCACGTTGGCCATGAGACTTGTATTCATTCGAGGTAGCCCCTCCGCGCGGTAGATTTTCACATAGAACCGGGCCCACTGGCGTTCTGGGGGAACCCCTTCCGGGAGCAGCAAGTTCCTGCCAGCATATCCAGCCAGGGCCATGGTGGCGAGGGCCCCAACTTCCTACCTAGCATCCACATCCCCCCTGGGGCCCGACGTAATCGGTGAAGGATGGCTGAGAGGACTCAACCCTGGATTAAACACCTCAAGGACAAGCCATGCGCCCACTTGTGGAATGCTGGGCTAAGTTCCTCATCTTGCAATAATAATATCCACCTCTCAGGGAAACCATAATAGGCCTAAATAGGCTGCGATATCTCAGTGCTTTGTAAACTACAGAGCTGTTACTATCAACTTTCGTGGTTTTACAACAAGGGGATTGGACTATGAACACATGATAAAAGCGAGAGCACACAAGGGAGGGGTGAGGATAGGTAAGACACCTAAAAAACTAGCTAGCATTTGTTGCCCTTAACGCAGAGAAACTAAAGCAGATACCTTAAAGCAACTGAGGCCAATAGGAAAAGGGGAACAGGTACTAGAGAAAAGGTGAGATCAAAAAGAATTAACCTAGAAGGTAACACCCACGCACAGGAAATCAATGTGAGTCAATGCCCTGTATAGCTATCCTTATCTCAACCAGCAAAACCCCTTGTTCCTTCCTATTATTGCTTATACTCTCTCTACAACAAAATTAGAGATAAGGGCAAAATAGTTTCTGTTGGGTATTGAGTGGGGGGAGAGGGAGGAGGAGGAGTGGGTGGTAAGGGAGGGGGTGGGGGCAGGGGGGAGAAATGACCCAAGCCTTGTATGCACATATGAATAATAAAAGAAAAATGAAAAAAAAAAAACTTTCGTGGTTTTGTGGCATGTCCTTTGTCCTCAACAAAACTCTCATAAGTAGCTGCTCTCCATTCCCTAGCCAATGGAAGACAGAATTCATTGGACCCCAGAACTTTTCCCCACCCAATCCAAATAAGGCCCTGGAATAGTTCTCAGCAGCCACTAACAGCTACCTGCGGTTGACACATTAAGTGAAATCTCTTTGCCCAGGCTGTTTGGTATATCCTGCTGGTACCTTCAGGCTCTGGCAGTTCCGGACTCTGGTCTACCAGCACCTGCTTTTCCTACCAACTTTCTCAGAGTCAGAATCTGAATGTCAAAGTACTGTTTATTCTTTTTCTTTTTTTTTCTGTAATACTCAGGGTTGAACCTGGGGCCTGTGCATACTAGACAAGTGCTCTGACAGCTGAGCCCCCAGGCCAGAGCACCACCATTCTTAACCATCCCCCATCACTCCTTGGAGAGTGGGGCTGTGTGTGTGGACTAAAGGAGATGGGTGGCAGGACCTCCAGCCAAGGCCATGCCAGGAGAACCCCTTGGGGGAAGGAGGAGCTGGGGGCAGGTCCCTGAGGCAGGGGTGAGATGGAGCCTCACCCCTCAATGTCATCCTCATCTGTCTCGTTGGCCTTGTGGGGTGTCTTGATGTTGTCCCCCTTGCCCACCACTGCGACATCACACTTCACGTAGCCCTTCAGCCCAGCAGAGATGTCATCAGGGTCCGACAGGATGGCCCACTTGTGATGGAACTGGTGCTCTGTGGTGGTGAGGAGAGCACTGTACTTGACATTCCAGCCCCTTTAGATTACCACACTCAGGCAGCCCAGGGTAGCTGAACTGACTGCCTTCTAGGTCCAGAGCCCAGACCACCAGACCCCTGAGACCTGGGGCCACAGCTCCACCTGCATCTGGACCAGGGGATGCAGAGGGAGACAGAGGCCCTCTGTAGCCCAGCAGTTGGGCAAGGTCCTGCCCAGGGTCATGCATCCAGATGTGTGGTGTGACTTATGATCTACAAGCCTCTAATCAGTTTCTTGACCTACAGCCTCTCCTATGGTCACCTCTTCGGCCAGCCCTGCATGGATGCCAGATAGGGCCTTCCAAAGTGGAGGCTGCCCTTATAGCCACCCTCCTTCCCGGCCCCTCTGAGCTCTGGTGCATTGGGGTGAAGCCCAAAGGCTTGGCATTGGGCTCCTGCTGCCACTCTCCCTGTGTTGCTCGGCTCCCCAATACCAATGCTCATTACTTTCTGAGCTTGTGCTGCTGACCCTATAGCCAGGGAACGTGTCTGCATTCCTGTCAGATCTGAATGTCATCATCTTCCTCTCCCTTCCCTTTTAGCTGGAGAACTTCTACTCATTTTTCCCAAGGGTCTCCTCTGCCATGTAGCCTTCCTTGACTGCCTCAGAACAGTTACCATGGCCTCTTGGTGCTCTCAAGGCCCCACACCCCCACCTCCCACCTCACCATGGTCATCTATGTGCTATTTGTCTACAAGTTTAGACTGAGGGTCTCTTAAAGATGGAGGCTGAGAGTACCCCCCCGCAGTGTCCCTAGGACCTAGGGTAGGGTAGAGGGAAGGACAAGTGTCAGGGAAGGAGGCACTTTAGAAAGATCTGGCCTTTTGATTCACTTTAAACAAGTGCTCAGGCAGAGGGAGGCAGAGAGAAAGTCTTGCTTTGTGAATCTTCCTATGATACCCTGTGAGTACTGAAATCTCCAGGGGTTCAGAACTCCCTCCCTTCTCTCTCCTCTTCCACCTTCTACTACAGTCCAGGCCTGTGTCCTTCAAATTGCTGACCCCAGGGGATGCCCAGAGCTAAGACAGCAATGGCCGCAGAAACCAGTCTGAGGGGATCAGCCAGCCCAGTTGTGTCTCAGAGCTAATGCCAGAGCAGAGTGTGAAGAGAGGGCAGGAAGTCATGGGCATGCGGAGTTGCTGGAGTCCCTCTGCTGAGCTGATGGGTCTCAAGAGAAGGCAGCCATGTCCTCAGCATCCCCAGAGCTTAAGAGTCTTGCCCGAGCAGATGTGACAGAGGGCTGTTGGGGAGATGGACAGAGGGCTGGGGTGGGCTGACTGGCTGGCCCAGTGGATGCATGGATAGATGGTGGGTGGATGGATGGCTAGCAGGATCCATTAGTGTATGGACAGAGGAGTGGATGGATACATGGGTGGATGGGCAGATTTGTGGATGGGTGGGTAGGTGGGCAGATTTGTGGATGGGTGGATGGGTAGATTTGTGGATGGGTGGATGGGTAGATTTGTGGATGGGTGGGTAGGTGGGTAGATTTGTGGATGGGTGGGTGGATGGGCAGATTTGTGGATGGGTGGATGGGTAGATTTGTGGATGGGTGGGTAGGTGGGCAGATTTGTGGATGGGTGGGTAAGTGGGCAGATGTGTATGTGGTTAGATGAATTGGGGAAATTTAGCAAGAAAAGAGAGTAAGGCTTAGAATAACATGAACACTGTCTTCAAACTTAAAGGCCATTTGAAGAGGGATTTCTTTTTTTCTGTCCTCAAAAACAGATCTGTAAACATGGGTGAAGGTTTCAGGTGACAGATTTTGGTCTGACAAAAACAAAATGGATATATGTAAAATAGGGGTGGTGTGCATTCCACTACTAGGTGGTCTGAGCAGAGACTAAGTGACCATCAAGGATGCTGCCGAGAGGTTTTCTACTTAGGGTGCACATTGAAATGATAACCTTTGAGGTCCTTACGGTCCCAATACTGTGTGATTTCAGGATGGAAATGAAAGGACAACCAGAGACCCTCATTCTATGCTCACCAGCCTCAAACATCGCCTTGTCTGCCTTAGGCCTAGCTCCGACACCTACTAACTAAAGCTGGCTGGGCAGGCAAGTTTCTTGTGTCCCAGGCCTTCTCTGTGACTACAAACCCACCCTCCTTCCAGTAGAGGACAGCAGTGAGCAAAGAGTTTCCTGTGGTTGCACCTGACAGGACACTGGGACTCCTTCCTCCTTCATCCTCCAGTAAGCCCTTCTAGTTCTCTCAGGTACTGACACCACCCAAAAGTTCCCATCAGTGCCCAGCTGTTTTGAAGCCCTGAGATGCTGTCATGAAGGAGACTCATGAAGGCCAGGCCCAACTGGAGACTGTCAGAGGGAAGACCCAAGTGCCTCCATTAAAGGGGGACGGGACATGCAACCTTGTCCTCCCGTACTCTTGGCAGAACCCCGAGCTCAGGGGCAGGTTCCCAGGACAGCAAGTCTGAGAGTGAGTTACCCCAGTGGACAGCCTGGGTTTGGGGCCCACTCAGACCTGGGCTCACATCTAATTTCTGCCACTTACTACCAGTGCATCCCTGGACCAGCTCTTTAAGCTCAGTGAGCCTCATTTCCCTTTCTGTGAAATCAGAAAAACGATGCCTACATTGGTTGGGAAATTAGGCCGGGGGACAGTATTCTTGGCCCAGTGCCTGGTACCTACTGCTGCTCCACGAGGGCTGTGCTTTTCTGACGAGGACTCCGCCATCCGGAAGCCCAGAGGTGTGTACTAAGCTCCCCATGATTTCTTTTCCATCCCTGACTTTCTCTTGGCTCCGGACCTCAGGCCTGTGGATACTTGGCCCTGGGAGAAGGTCATAGAAGGTCATCCTCAGGGATGTCCCTCCCTGAGGTTGTCCACTGTGCATGCTTCCTAGGAATCAGCATGGTGGCAGACTAGCTCTTCCCTGCTCCCCATAGTACCAATCCATCGGGAGGCTGCCCTCCCAGGAGGCCTCTGACCCATGTGGGCAGTGGAGAAGGTCTTGGCCTGGGAGCTAGAAGACCCCGTGTCTACTCGTCCAAACTTTAGGCAAGACCTTCTTCACCCTGGGCCTCTCCATCCAGGTAGGGATTGGACTAGGTGTTTGAAGGCCTCATGCAGCTGCAAGGTTCTGTGATTTTCGTGAGTTTTGTGTGCATAGTCTTGGGTGTTGGACTCATATTCCCTGATCTGAGTTGCAGTTACAAGGGAAGCAGCTGAGTATTATTAGATGGAACGACAAGAAAATGCCAATGGTTCCACCTCCTAGTTCATTTCTCATAGCCTCATTAGCTCATCTGTAAAATGGGGAGCTGCTGCCTGTACCACTGCTTTCTTTGTAGAGGTCAAATGCGACAATCTGGGTGAAATACATTGCCACTGTCAAAAGGCCTAATGGGGCCATTCCTGTATTCTGAGCAGCTATGAAGCTGGGTGTCCCCAGGTTGGCCATGTAGTGACAAGCTCTCTAGGCCACTCCTTAGGGGTGCCCTCACCAGCTCCACACAGGTACCTGTAGAGCTGCCAGTGAGCCACAGTCCCACATGGCTGCTCCTCAGGTGGCCTGGATCCCTTGTAAAGTGTCTGTAGAGCTCAGAGTCCTTTAGAGGTTGCCATACTGCATTTAGCATAGGATTGGACCGTGTGACTTCATGGGGGCTCTGGAGCATGTGGCCTGACAGTCCCCCACCTACCTGGTGACTGGACCAAGCCCCAGTGCATGTTTGAGCCTCGGACTCCTCAGCTGTCAAAAGGGAGATGATGGGAACCCTGTGGGGACAATAGGGGTCTTTTCTGCTCAGCAGGTGCCATCCCAGGAGCACGACATGGTGCCTGAGGAAGGTATGGGCGGGGAAGCAGACCCAGGACAGGGCTCCAAAAAGCAGCAGCCCCTCCCAGGCTGTGAGGACAGGCCTGGCTCTCTGCACTCTATACAATTGCTCCCATCTGGCACATGACAGGTGACTCACCGGTCTTTCACGATCTACTGAGCAGCCACTCTGTGCAGAGCGACACCCAGGCTTTGTGCAGAGTCTCTGCCTTGGAACAAGCGAACACCTACTGGAATGGGTGACCAGGGCCCCTGTAGACCATGTCCACCACTCCTCCGCAGCCCACACAGCTGTGTCCTAATAGGACCACCATGGTGGGAAGGACCTCGTGTGCCCGTTTCCTGAGCCCTTTGCATGGTGGCTGAGCAGCCCGCGTGCAGTTAGTTACTCACCAGGCTGGGAGTACACGGTCCCCACATCCATTTTGAAGGAGCCCACCAGGGTGCCACTGCGCAGCAGGTTCTTGGAGTGAATCACCTTCCGGGCAGAACCACCAACCACCAGTCAGGCCAGGTGGGGGTGAGGCCTTCCATAGGGTGGGGTGGGATGGGATGAGGGGGAAGCCAAGCTTTGTCATGAAGCAGGAAGGCATTTGGCAGGGCAGGGGTGGCTTGCTGAGGCCATGCTTGTTTTTTGCTGGCTGCCATGCACAGGTGAGAGGTTGTACACTAGACAAGGGCCTGGCTAAAGGGACAAGAGGAGGCCAAAAATCTGGCCTGTGCCCCTTGCTCAGTTGTATGTTCAGGCATGGGAGCTGCCATTTTTATTATTGATCCAGCTAGTGGAGGCACCTTTCAAGGACATGGAGCTGTAGCTTAAGTTACTGGCCTTGCCTGCCAGGGCTGCTCCCCACTCACCGAAATCTTGATGATCTTGTCAAACATGACGTCAGGAGAGACGTGGAAGTCGAAGACGAAGTACTGGAGAGGGGAAGGACCCAGGCTGGTGTCACTGGTGGGCAGCAGCTGCAGCCCAGGGCAGTGCTGGGCCCTTCCCTCCTGACAGTGCCTGTCTACACCCCGGCCATTTCCCCTGAGCCCCCAGGTTTGGATGTGCAGCAGTGGTGATACATCTGACTCTGGGTGGCCAGGTGGGGGTGGGAAAGAAGGGCTCCATCCCCTATGCTGGACCATCTGGAGCGTGCTATGCTCAGATGGCCCCTGGGTGTGTGGCAAAGGAGGAGCCAGAAGAAAGGCCAGGACAAAGCAGGCCCTTTGAGATGTAGGAAGACAAGGGCCCACGGCAAAGGGCATAGGTGAACTTTAGGCAGGTGGGAGGCCACTGCACCCAAGATGGCCAGAGAGGACCAGATGCACATACAAAGAAGGGGACTTGGCCTGATTCATGCATGGCCAGGTTGTTCTGGGAGGGCAAAGGTCAAGAACCTCCCTTTGCTGACAGACTCAGAGCCAAGCAAGATAAGGCATTAGGCCAGGTGCCTCAGAGCTGGGTCAGCCCCATGGCAGGGAACTAGTTAAGCCAGACAGAATCTCACATCCTCTGAGTCTTCTGAGGTCACATTGCTTATATTTCATGAGCATAATTTCCTTTTGGAATTACTCAGAAATCTGCTAAGTCATGTTGATGGTTACTACCAACTTCTGCTATTTTAGTGGAGCCAAAGAAAGATTCCTGTCAGCTCAGAGAATTTTCTAGATGCAAAACATACTCATGACAAGGAGGGTCTCTTTCACTGAAGAGGAAGAGAAGGGAAAGAAAGCCCTGGCCTTGGAGGCTGGAAGGAAACACAGTGAGACAGTTTAGAGCGGGGTCTCAGTGGGGTTAGTTTAATTACCAGGGGACATTGGCAGTGTGGGAGAACACTTTGATTGCCACAACTAGACACTCTTGGCATTTTGTAGGTAGAATCCAGGGATGATCCAGTGCACTGGACCATCTACCACAACGAATCAGCCAGCCCCAAACACACAATGTGCCAAGAAACCCTAGTTTACAAGAAAGAGACAGCAACAAAATCAGAGCTACTTGGGTTTGTGAAAAAGAACACAAATGTGATCAGGAACAGATGAAGATGGTCCAAAAATGAGCAGAGTACAGAAAGTGGCTTCTAAGCCAGGCATGGTGGTGCATGCCTGTAATTCCAGCACTGGGGAGACTGAGGCAGGATCATGCTCAAGAATTGGAGGGCAGCCTAAGAGGTGATTTGTGAAGGCAGAAGGTGCACCCCGTCCACCTCTGCTCTCTCCAAGCTTGGCGCTCAGCAGATATTCAGAGAATGCTGGTCTTTGTTCCAGTAAGAAACCACTCAGCAGAGTGTTACCTGCAGTGAATTTGGTCAGAGAGTTGCAAGAAACCCAAAGCCTTCCATCCACCAGGGTGACAGAGACATGAAAGACTGATGTTACTGTTATTGCCCACGCAGAGAAATAATGCTGACCTCTAACCCAGAGAGGGCAGGGAAAGGGCCCTGCAGGATGACTAGGAGTTTGCTGGGAAGACACAGAGCCAGGAGGCTGCTTTGTACCTTGGAAGGAGGAAGCATGAATGAAACATGAGGTGAGTGGGCCTGGTGCAAGGTGAGCCCTCAAGTAGGCCAAATGTGGCGCTTCACCACTATCAAATAACTAGGGAGGGTCACAGGGACCTGTTTCCATAGCCACCTTATCTAGGCCAGAAACTTTTCTAGTCAGGGATGTGTTCTGAAATCAGGTCAGAGATGTCCAGCCTGAATGTCCCGACTCCACGGTGGCTGTGGGTGGTGGCGGGGGACCCTGAGCAGTGATGTACTGTCCTGGAAGCTAAGGGACACCAGCTGGGAGAATGGGATCAATCTGTGGTCACATATGAGTTTGGTCAGGCTTGGACTGAGGGCAGAGTGTGATAAGATTGTCTTCTTACAGGTGCACAGCTGGAGGTCCCATGGCTACCCAAGAGCACCCTTGGTCCTCCCCACACTTCTGGACACAAGACATGGATGTGTCACTTGTGCCAGATCAGCACTGGATGTCCCATCCAGAACATCTGGGTAGCCTCATGCGTGCTCAGATATCAGAGGGAGGTCTGGCAGCTCTCCCCTGAACTGAACACAGTGGGTCCCATCTCGAGCCCAAGAGTCTATATGCTGTGTTGCAGGTAGCAACCAGGACTCTGGGCTGGAGGTGGTCTGGCTCTGCTCATTGACAGTGCTCTAGATGGTGGGAAGGCCCTTCCCATCCTGAGGTCCCAGTCCCCTCCTATGGAAGATGGGGGACTGAACTAGGAAGTCTCAGAGGTCCCTCACTCTCTACAAAGCCTCAAATAGCAAGAAAGAATGGAGTGGGTTTCAGGCATATTTTCTCTTACACCCAAAGTCAAGGCCAATGCTATTGAGAGAAGCTCCACAGGGGTTCAGGAGACCATGGAGGCAGCTAAGAGGAAAGAGTGAGCACCCAACTAGCAAGGTCCTCCTCCAGGAGCCTTCACGTACCCCTGTAAGCAATGGGATAACAGTGACAGCCTCAGACAGTGTTAATCCACCTACTGCATGGGAGAGTGCCTGGCACATAGAGGGCTTGGTAATGGTGTCAGTGCCACCAAGGGAAGGGCTGGAGTTCCCAGGGCTCAGGCCTGGAAAGCAGCTGTGGCTAGGCCTTGTGGGATGTGGGGTTTGTTCACAGCACTGTGGGGGAATATAGCCTTGAGGTTGTGTTCATCTTAATGGGCAACCCTTGGCTGGAGCAGAGTCAGGCTGGGATTCAGGATAGGGGTCCAGAATGTGTGAGAATGCACGCTTGTGTGCTGGGCTTGTAAGTGGGTGAGTCAAGGTTACCCAGCTGGTAGCCCTCTATGTTTTCTAACTCCCAGCTGCTCCTGTTGGCCTGGGTAAGGCTGGGGTCCAGCCTCCTGCTATGTTTCAGTAGGCCCATTTCCTACCTAGTGCCACAGGGCCACTGACCTCATTGTAGTAGGGGCAGTTAGTGGACTCCTTCATGGATGTGTACTTCTTGTCATCTCCCACCTCCACGCAAACAACAGGGTCCATGTTCAAGCCCACCAGCTGCCGAGCCTCGATCACCGTGACGCTGACCTGAGAACAGGAGAAGGGGAAGCTGCTTGGAGAGGTGTGTGAGCCTAGGAACCTCATCCTGCTGGTTCCTGGGGTCCAGCAGCAGGATTGGAGGGTGCAGGGAGCCAGTCAGACTCAGAGTTATATCCTGGGCTCCACGGTAGCCATGGCTTGTATTTGCTGGGTGATCCTGGCTCATTCTGTCCACGTTGATAGAAGGGTGTGGGCTGGTAACTTCAAAATCAGCATTTACTAGAATTCCCTAAGGGAAGCTGCGTTTACAAACCCTGGTACTCAGGCACACTCCTGACTGACCAATCTGGTCCAACCTGGGGGATGGGCCAACATCACTTTTCTTTTTTTGTGGTACTGGAGATTGAACCCAGGGCCTTTGGAATGGTAGACAAGCACCCTACTACTGAAGCCACACCCTCAACCCTTTTGTTTTTGTTTTGCCCAGGCTGGCCTCAAACTCCCAATCCTTTTGCCTCTGCCTCCCAAGGAGCTGGGATTACAGGTATACTCAGCATAAGTTTTCTTAAGGTCCTCAGGCGATTCCAGGACTCTGAGTTCTCCCAAGCACAAAGGAACTCTGTCTTGGGAGGGCCCCAAGGCCCATCTCACCAGTTTTTTGTACCTAGGAATTAAACTTTTTAAGTCTTCATTAACTTACATTAATTTCTTCTCCAAGATGTCTCATTTAAGCCTGCAGAGTTCTAATATTTCCTTGTGTTTCTGGAATTTGGTCCCCTTTGCATATTCTCACCCCTCTCCTTTGGTTTAATTTCTTTATTTGAATAGCCAGTGAGGCTTTGGCATCCACTGAGCTGCCTTTTCTGGCCTGGTGATGTTGCATGTTCTTCTGTGCCCTTTAAGTGGCCTCCAGCTCCCTGGAATCTTACTTCTGTACTAGGAAGCCCTTTTTCAGTTGTCCATTTATTCAATAGTTTTTTAGGGGATACCTGCTGGGGCCAGGTGCATGTGGGATTGAAACAAACTCCTTACCCTCCTGGAACTTTCTATAAATGCTTACTGACTTATAAATTTTATATAGAATGTATATCTGTATTCTATCTATGTATCTATCTATCTACCTACCTATCTAGATAGATGTGTGTGTTTTTCATAATTTCTGATGACACTACTACTCTTCATTTCAAGCCATTAGTTCTTAGTTTGAATTTGGAGGAGTCAGTTCCCTTTAGGGTCCCCATGGTAAAATAGAAAGAAATACACACTTGGGTTGCTGGGCTTGGCCCTGAGCCCTGCACCACCTGCCAGATGTACGTGCACAGAACCATGCAGATTCACTGAGCTGTAATTTTCTCAGCTACCAGCAGAGTCACCTGTAAGGTTATGTGAGGGGAGAAATGAGCTAACATGGGTCAAAAGGCATCGCGAACAGTGGGAAGCCATCATTGCAAGTGCCTCTCAAGTAGAATGTGCCTTCAGGCAGCCATCAGTGTCTGAAGCAGGACGGGTTGGGGACATGCTTAGGATGATTCCACAGCACTCTTGAACTTGTAACAAAAGCCTTCCCTCTGCTAGTATCAGCCTTTCCCACTAATGGCACCGTGAGGATAGCTCTTTGCTTCTCATCTTGAAGATTTGGTATTTCAGTTGCTATGCTTTGATGCAACTTCTATTTTCCCTTCTTATAAAAAAAGAATCATTGCTAAAATTACCATTCATCATATCCATCAAGATCTTATAAATATTCTGAATGCCAAGAAAGACCCACACATCAGAAGTAATGATCTTAAGAAAATAGAAATCCTTTGGCCAATGAGAACACTGTCACGAAAGCATAGAAACGGAAAACCGAATATTTATGCGTTGAAGCCACACTTGAGAACGAGGAAAGCAAGCATTTCTATTTGGAGCTTGAAGTGCCAAAGGGGCTGAGGTGAAAGCTTTGAAATCATGCTTCAAAGAGTTTCAATAATCACTGTTTCTTCAGGGAGCTACAAAGGAAATAGGGCTAATTAACTTAGCTGTGACAAGTTTCCTGTGAAGAGAGTAAACAGACACTAGAAGTCCTTCCAGAATATTCTCTGCACAGTAGTTTATAGAATTTTAACTCCCATGAACCTTTTTATGCCAAGGTTTAAAAAAATTCTATTTCCCCCCCAATGCCCCCTGAGCCCTGTCCTCTATCAATAAAGGCTTTCTGTAACTCAGGACTGAGAAGTAGACAGACATAGTTTAGCATATACACAGGTATACAAGCCTGAGATTGACCTTCCCCATGCCAAAGGGCTGGCTGGCTTGATGTTTTCCATCCTGAGGCGTGGCCCAGTGATGGCCCTTTTCCCCCTCTCCTGGCTCAGGATTCTGAAATTTCCACCTTGCTCTATGGAGTGTAGACAGCAATACTCTGACACTGGAGGTAGGGGGTGGAATGAGGAGGGCAGCAGAGGGTTCAAAGGAGCTAAGAGGTGAGAAGACCCAGAGGGTGCACTTTGCTGGCTGCAGGGCGGCCCCAGGGGAAGCCTGGGAGTACAGGAGAAAGGCCTGTGGAGCATGGGGCATGGGACATGGTGGTGGAGGGAGGGGAACGCCACTCCTGCAGCCTCCCAGCCCCTGCCTGGGCTTTACAGGGAGAAATACAGCACTTACAATAGTAAGAAAAATACTGGCTATGCTTCAGTATTCTGTGGGAGGGAACAGACGATTCTTTCCCCCATTAGCAGCATGTTAAGAAAATAAGAAAGCACAGAAATTTCAACTTCAAACTCAATTTTCCAGAGCAGAAGATGAGGGAGAAGGGGAGCCACAACTGGGACCACCTGACTAGCTGAGTCCTTTGGTTACTGACTGTTCACTATCTCCTTCTGAGTTGAGGGTCAGAGTCTCTAAGGGGTTCTGTTCCATGCAACCATTGCAAAGAATAATGCTACTCCTCTGTCCCTGGGGGACCCGCGTTGGGGGATGACAGTGGGTGTCACCATTCTGCAACATCCTTTCCTCCCTCATCTCCAGGGTCCAGAGATGTGACACGACCAGATTTTTAGAAAATCACTCCAGTGGTGACATGGAGAATGGAGTGTAGGAAGGGAGACAGGAGGAAGCAGGAGAAATGATGCAGCTGAGGCTGGAGCCTCAGGTCAGTGGCAAGGAGATGAAATGGGGTGAAAACTGGAGAGGTGTCTGAATTTGACAACGTTGAGTCTTGATGCAAGGAGGAGAGGGTAGGGAAGAGACGAAAGACTCATGACCCACCGAGAATACATCTGCCCAGTGCTAAGCATGGCTCACTCTGGTGAGGTAACTGGACATTACAGGGAGGTGACAATGGCTTGTCATCTTTGAGATGCCAATAAGGTTATGTGCTATAGTCAGTTTAATTATCCAAGGGCATGGGTACTGTGGCCGATTCCCCTCCAGACCTCCTCCAGTGTATCCAACCTTCAGGATGGTTCTGATCCTCGGGATCCCTCTCCTCTCACCACCTGCATGTGCCTTCTGAGGTCTTTTAACTCCTCAAAGTCAAGTTCTTCTGGTTCTATTGTTTTATGTATTGTGTTTATTTGAAGTAAAAATATTTCACATTTGCATCCCCTCTTTCTCTACAGAGAGTTGAGGTATGAATGAACCTTTTAGGAATTACTGTGCTGCCAGGCTAAATGCAACAGCTGTTTTATTCACTCCTCATGGTTTAAAAGTCTTTAAGGGAAAATGTCTGGTTTGGTTAATAAAAGTTCCTGGAAGGAAGCTAAAATGAATGAGGAACCAGAAAGGAGCAACTGTTCAGAGACTGGGTGACAGAGAAGCAGTGGCTCTGACTACTGTCATTTTGACCCTGGGGTCAGAACCCTGGCTTCAGCCTTGACTAATGGTGACCTGGGGCTGGCTCCTTAACTTCCTTGGCCTCAATTCTTACCTATAAAATGCTGCAGCGCCTGTACTTGGGTGGGGTAAGAATTCCATTAACACAAATGGACATGTCTGTAGCTCCTAGCACAGTGCCTGGCATATAACAAACCTTCAAAAACATAAATTAACGATTCCATTTTTGTTGTGCCTTTGTGGCATAGGCCTGTGAAATGGTATCTGAGTTGGGCGTCTTTGTTCTTTGGATTTTGCCTGTTCTCAGCACACAGAAGCAAACGCCTGGTCCCAGTGCCCCGGAAAAGCCCTTAGAAGCCTTGTGATACCCTGTGTTTGTGTTTTGCCAGAGAAGCTAAGGGAACAGTCCCAAACTTCCAAGGAGCCCAAAGGCTTGAGGGTGTCTCTAACCACAGAGTTGGGGACATGTGACAATACTTGGGATTATTTTTCAAGTACCTGAGGGGATGAAAACAAACTGAAGCAAGATTAGGGAGACAAGGCAAAGCCTTGGAAAAAAACAGCCGGATGTACTCTCCACTCAGAAAGGAGTGGTCTCGTCCCTTACATTATCTATCACCTGTGGAGGTGAGGCGGGGAGATGTCCATAAAGAAGGGGCGGTGTGCACGGGCATCAAAAATAAAGCTCTGCTACCAATCTGGTGCCAGGACCCACACAGAACAGCCCCAGGGCAAGAAGTGCAGTGACAGCAGCTGGGGTCTCCTGAAGTCTGTGTCCCCCTCCCCCCATCACCCAGCCAGCATACTTGCTCAATGTTAGGAGCACCCATTTAGTCTTCTGACCTATACCTGAGTTTTGTTAGTCCCTCAGGGGAAGCTCTGGAGCAATGGAGGGTCCCTGAGCTCTTTCTGAGAGATTCCCCCCACCCCACTCCAGTCCCCAGCTTCAATTGTGTAAATAAGAGCTAGGTGCTTCTAGCTTGCCTCACCAGTCTCTTGTGAATCGTGTTAGTGTAACTCTGTGTCTGAGGCTCTGGTCAACTCTGGGAGAGCTGGCAAGATTGAGGGTCTGGCTCTGCAAAGCTGAGACTAGTGTGCTCCTGTCCCAAGCCACCGGTCACACCCACCTCTGTCTTTCCTGCACTGTGGCCACATTCACAACTGTCTAGCTGTAAGCCCTTCCCTCTTGCAGCCTTTTTGTCTCCAGTTTTGGAAACATACAAGCAAAAACGTTGTTAATCTCAGAAAATACAGAGAAGCAAAAAGAAGAAAAAAAATCAGCCAAGTTTCTGTCTAAAGATATTTTCAACATTAGGATAATGTGAACAACAATTTAAAAACACGCCCCAAGTAACCTTCCTCAAGGGGTCATATTTTAACTGTATGAATATTGTGGTGTGTGTGTATGTATGATTGAGGGGTCATATTTTAACTATGCAAATATTGTGTCATGTGTGCGTGCTTCTCCTTGGTCTCTCTCTTTCTCTCTCTGGTACTACAGATTGAATTCAGCCTCAAACTTGCTAGACAAGCAAGTGCTCTACCATTTGAGTCAAGCCCCTGGTCCTTTTTGCTTTAGTTTGCTTTTTAGATAGGTCTTCACTGAGACCTGCCTTGAATCTTGATCCTTCTACCTCTGTCTCCTAAGTAGCTGGGATTACAGGCATGATCCACTACACCTGTCCCTCTCTTTGGACTCATTATGTTTTTTTCAGGCCCCTCCTACTTTATGATGCCCAGTGCTGGGTGCCAAATTCTGGAAGGGCTTTGGCAGAGCTCTCAAGGCTTTCCTTAAGTTTGGTGCCTCTCCACTTTGATACTTCTATGAATGTCTCCCAGGGACAAGCTTAATTTGGGAACTTATATTCAGATTATGGTTTGCTCTGATCCCCACATTTCTGCCTCTGTGGGTTCTATAATGCATACCTGACTGGAATCCCTCACCACAGCAGAGTCTGTAAGGTAGGAGACCTGCAGGTGTTCACTTACCTGGTAGTCCATGGGCCGTCCAGCACTTGGTTCCATCTTGATGTCTGGTTTAGATCTGAGGAGGAGAATGTACTGTTAGACTTGGGGTGAAGGGCTGTGGGGAGGAGGGCAGTAGCAGTGTTTAGACCTTGCAGACAGACAGAGGGACAGAATCATGGTCTACAGACACTCGAGGACATTCAAACAGAATGGCAACCAGCTGTTCTGTCCCAATGGAGAGGACTAACCAAAGGTGGAGGTAATGGAGTCAACAGGTTCAAATGCAGCTGAGCAGCTATGTGCTTTCCCTAGGCCTGGAGGTGTGCAGTGACCTGCTGTGCTCTGCCTCTGCAGGGAGAGGTGAGAGGGATAACCAAGGAAAAGAAGAAAGGGACAGGGCTAGGAAGAAACTGCCCATGGGCCTGATCTTTCACCACCCAAATTCCAAACCTGGCAAGATGGTCTTGCCTGCAGGGTGGAGGCAGTCGGGCTCCTGTCCACTCACCGCTTGTTGGAGACATTGGTGGTGAGAGCAGTGACAGAGGCTAGGGACACAGAGTCCGGATCCAGCCCATCCCCCAGTCGAATGGTCAGGTGATCAAGGTCCTCCATCTCCAGCACCGCTGGTTCGTCTGAGGAAGAAGGGTAGGTTAGGTGGGTGGATGGGGGGATAGGGACTATTTCCCCTTTTACTTTGGTACCCAGGAAGTGCAGACTCAAATCTGACGTTTACTTGGTAACATATGCTTAGAATATTATGGCCTATATATTTGCATTGTTTTCTATCTAACCTTGGTTTTATTTTAATTGATACTATGTCTGGTCTTACTTGTTTATTGTAGCTGAAGGCAGCTCTTTTATTAAACACTATTTACTAAAATTACTGAATATCCTTTGTGGAAGAAGGTAGGAAATAAAGAATCCTTGCTTACATATTTCTCCTAACAACAGACATCTTTAATGGAGTGGCTAGTATGCTCTGTGCAAGGTGCCAGGCACTTTGCACACACAACTCTAGTCCACATGCCTAAGACCTGTCAACATAGGCAGTATTCTTGGGTACTAGATAGGAAAACTGAGGCTTAAGAAGTAACTTATCCATGTAAAATAGCAGATGGAATTCGGACTTAGCCCTGTACTGATGTGTTAATACCCACAGGAGATGAAGAAATGATTATGAAAAGTCACTCAGAGATGATGGGTTTGGGACTCAGCCCGCAGCTCTATTCTCAATCTACTGGCTGGAGTTGGCATGCGATAAAAAGATAAGGAGAGATTCTGGGGACCAATGGGCCCACAGGGCTGCTGGGAGCCCTGATGGTGGGCCTGTGATGGGGGAAGATGGCCTACACACAGCTCCACTCTCTACCCTAATCCTCCCTTGCCTTCCACCTGTTCTCCTGGCTCCTCTTAAACAGCTGTTGTGGCCCCTCCCCAGCTGGTTACTCCCTGAGGGAGGCCCAGTGCAGCCTCCCTCCCAGGCCTAGCTTGACCTCTGTCCAGAGCTCCCAGGGCCTGCAGCCTGATGAGAGGGTCAGGGACAGGCAGGGCAGGGCCTTGCATTCTTCCACTGTGCAAGCACTTCTGGCATTTGGTTGCTCCCCCAAAAAGAGGGAATCAGCTAAATCATGTTTGTTGCTATTCCCGTTTCTAAAAATCTTTGGGATTATTAGAAAGAGTAAAGGATAGAGAATAATGGGGTCAGGAGAACCTTTCTAGACAGGCCCATCTCGCAGAGGGATCTCCCATTTCCAGACCGAAGGACAAGCTGTCCACCCAACTAACTGTTCACGCGCTGCCTCAGGGGCGCCCCTCCCTGGAGGACCCGGGCAAGACCCGGCTCCTTGGCCAGCCAATGGGAGACCATGCTCCGCCCAGGTGGCTCTGGCTGACCAATCCCAGGGGAGCCTGTGTGGACCTGAGCGGAGTTCGACGGTGGTCACGTTGGTAGAAGTGGCTGCAAGGGGCCGCACTGAGCCGTGGGCAGGGCCACCAGTCCTACCTTGTCTTAGGGGCTCCTCCTTGTGGGGCCGGTTCTTGCCGAGCTTCATGGCGGAGAACACGCTCCTCCCGGCTCTGTGAGAGGGGCCGCCAGCGTGAGATGGAGAGAGCGGGACAACCAGGAAAACACCCCAACACACAAGAGCCAAACCCAGGGGACGCATAGAGGAAGGGAAATGGACACCACGGCCCTTATCTACTGATCCCAAGATACACTGGAGTTCTAACTTTCCAAATCGGGGACCACAAAGGAAGTAGGGCAGAGGGAAACCCCACCACTTCCTCTTTGGCACCCCCTCATATGCGAATGGCCCCCC